TCGGTCCGAGGGGGGGTGTCAGGATTCCATCCCGTTTAGGTTTAGCGTCCCGACTTAGTCAGCCTATATATAGTTGGCCCCTGAGCCATCCTAATTGGACACTTGGCGCTTCCCGATTCTCTCAAATATGTCAAAGGTCATGTGATTTAAGCACTGGGCATCAACAGATAATCAGATTCCTCCTTCCCTCGTTGTCGCACAATCATCTGCATTCAATCCAAGCATGTTGCGTCCTGCGAGTCAGTTAGTCAGTTGCACTGCAGACGCTTTACTTGCAGAAAGGGAGACAGCAGCGTTTGCCTCTGCTACAATGGGAGCTCAACTCATCATGTTGAACGCAGTACACCATGACGCGCATCAAAATATCATTGGCTCGACGAAGAGGACAAGGCTGAGATGATACTCAGGCGCTGTAGCTGATGCCAAGCCTAGCCTTGCATCCTCAAAGCTGACTTACCCCTCTTCAACAACCCGTCGCACCGATTCAGGGGTTTTCGAGAATGAGTCTTGTACGCAAATTTCTCTTCCAGATTCGTCGTAACCATGCATGGATCGCGATCGCACTATGATTATACCGTGGCATGGATCAGCGCGCTGCCGCTGGAGATGGCCGCTGCGAAACATATGTTCGACCAGATCCACGACAGACTACCACAGCCATTGACTGCTATCAACACATATACGCTGGGCAGTATGCGGTCACAATGTGGTTCTGGCATGCCTTCTGTCTGGTGTCTATGGTACTACTTCGGCCGCCACAGTCGTTGCTCAAATGCGCTCTACCTTCCCTAGAGTCCAATATGGGCTGCTGGTGGGGATCGGGGGAGGCGCGCCTAGCGAGAAAGTTGATATACGGCTAGGCGATGTGGTGGTTAGTAAACCTACACGCACATACGGCGGAGCAGTACAATACGACTACGGCAAAACTTTGGCTGGTGGGTGGTTTGAGCAGACTGGCATGCTCAACAGGCCTCCTGAAATACTTCTTACCGCGATGTCGAAGCTACAGGCGGACTTGCACTATAATGAGAGACCGATATCTAACTCAATCCTGGAGCGGGCCCAGGTGACTGGAGGAATTGGCTTCGGTTTCCCCTATCCAGGCCAAGGTCATAACCTTTTGTTTGAGTCAACGTATGCCCATGTGGGGTCAGACGATAGATGCCAGAACTGTGATGCACTCCACCTGGTTCCCAGAACAGCCCGTGCATCCAACGAGCCCAAGGTTCACTATGGTTTAATCGCATCCGCAAACCAGGTTATGAAGGACGGCCCAACACGCGGCATGCTGGCACGCAATCTCGATATTTTATGCTTTGAGTATTGGCCCCCGCGATGGAAACAGGCGGGTGGTACAGTCCCTTCTTCGTCAAGGGGTGCCGCCAGATACAAGAAGCCTAGAGGGGAGACTCCTCTTGGGATGGTAGCAGCCGGTGAGCACGATTTGATCATCAAAGACCTCTTGGCAACAAATGCGGTAGACGTTGATGCTGTTTCAATGACGGGACAGTCACCACTTATCAAAGCAGTGGAAAGTTACAATGTTCCTATTGTACGACTTTTACTGGCAGCAGGTGCGAATCCGAACCTGGCCAGCAAGGACGGAAAGACAGCATATACTTACGCAAAGGAGCGGTCGTATTTGCGTATGATGGCTATCATGAGAGGACATGGAGCTAAGTGAAACAATTGCTGTCTTTTATACTAAGTTGACTCGTCTGCCCTTGGCTGTTGGATGAGATATGAATATGTGCTCCTCAACAGCAATGTCGCTTCGTACCATTCGATCAGCTGCTTAATAAGTGGTATCAAGCCAATTCTTCCAGTCACTGCCAAGGACCGTGCTCTTGGTAACAGCAGCAGAGATAGAAGTCTCATATTGTCTTTCCGAAGTATCCGATCCAGCACCCGTGTTATTGTACTCATAATAGAGCGGTGTCGCGCCAGATGCCATGGTCGTCCACCCCTTGGCGTTGATGATGTCTGACAACTCGGAATTCTGGTAGATGACACGGGCAAGCACTCGCCACGGGCGGCCGAGGTAGACTTGACTGGTGAGATCGAGTCCGGATTTACCATAGACGTTGCAGTGGTCGATCGCGTACCAGGTGGTTTCGTCCGAGGTTGTGCGCGACATGGCGGTGATGGCGCCGGGGCCGTTGGAGACGATGTCGCATTCGCCGAACCAGGCGGAGGCGTCACCGAAGATGTAGTCGACGGCTCCTGGAGGACATTAGCGTACTGGCCTGACGATAGATGGAGTCGGTGGTACAGTACATACCCTCAATGTAGCAGTTAGAGTAGTACTGACGACCGGCTTTGGCGTAGAGGGTGTCTTGGTAGCCGGTGAAACTGCATCCGTAGAAGCCGATCTGGTCGGCATTGGCTACGAGACTATCGTATCCTGTCAGTGACTTTCAATGGAAGGTCCTTGGGAGGCAACGTACGCTACGGCTTGCGCCCCCTTGCCGTAGCCATTGACAACATTGATGTTATACATCTTGAACAAGGCCGACTTGACGTTGACCGTGGCACTCAGATCAAGCGTTCCGGCTTCGGGAGAGGAAATGGTATGGGTGATAGTGACCACATTGTTCTTGTAAGAACCCGTGTTCGTTGTCTCACCATACATGGTCAGTTTTCCCGGATAGGTGATGGTGAGCTGCTCCGTGTATGTGCCGGCAGCAATGTAGATGCAGGCATCAGAGGTAGACGAGCCAAGAGCTGTCAACGCAGCGCTGATTGTCGAGTACGTGCCTGACGAGCCGACAGTGAGACAGCCTGATGGGGCGCTGGTGCGAGATGTTCGTTTGTCGAGGGAGGTCGCTGAGGCTGTGAGGGCAAGGCCAAGAAGCCCGAGGGCGAGAGAGGGGAGATGCATTCTGGAGTCTGGACGTCTTTGAAAAGAGGACTCTGGATAACTCCGTACCCGTATCTTCTTCAGCAAGGAAATTTACAAGAGCAATGATCGTCGTAAATAAGAAGGAATCTTGTATCGCAAAGCTTGACCTGGAGAATCACATGGTGCGTCCCTTGAGACAAATTTCTCCGACGTCAAACACGAGCTGTTTCATTTTTCCATGAATCGATTGGCCAACTGACAGTGAATCCAAATCTTCAGAATCCCCGGACCCACCGGAGGCTGCTAGACGAAGCCAAGCTGTCTTTCATTGATGTATTTAGCCGGTTCTTCCCCCGCAAACTCCTGTTTTTCCAGCGGGCTGACGATCCCCCGGTCCAATCTGGGAGACATACTGACCCCGCAACGTAAGAAATATGGATGTTAAGGGAGCCCTTTTCAATCGATGAGACTCAGGACCCGGAAGCTCGGGAATGCGTCGATGAAGATCGAGATTTTCCTCGAATGACGCTGAGTATACATCGATTTAGATATCCCGACGCCGTTGTTTCACGTTTCCCCGGAGCTCGGGAATTGAAAACGACGGTTGCGCTCATTATTTTCGTTTGCCTGGATGTAAAATAATTGATATTAAATGACGAATGCTTCGAGTCTGAGTCTCTTGACCTCGCTAGCTGAAGACTTGGTATGGACTAGCCGTTATCCGTCTGGTCTGAAGTACTATATATATATCTGGAATCTCCTTTCACCTTTCTAGATATCATTGAATGTAGATGCAATTGAGACAACATGGCGATTTATCGCAACCTCGCTGTTTTCTCTCTCTTGGGCCTAGGCAGCGCTGCTCCCTCGCAGGTTGAGCGCTCTCCTGATGCAGTCATCCAGCCTCGCGCCATCTGCACTCCCACCGCGGGGGGAACTTCTTCCATCGACGACGTACCGGCCATCACCAAGGCCATCGCCTCGTGCGGTAATGGAGGCACGATAGTATTTCCCGCTGGGTCGACCTACTACTTGAACAGCGTGTTGGATCTTGCTGGGTGTTCAAACTGTGACATCCAGGTCGAAGGTTTGCTCAAGTTCAGTGGCTCGACCGACTACTGGGGCGGCAAAACGGCTATGATCAATATCAATAACATCAATGGCTTGAAGCTTCGCTCTTTGACTGGGTCGGGTGTCATCGATGGCAATGGACAGAATGCGTAAGTTTTTCATCTGGCCTTGTGAAGCAGGAGCTAATGGATGACTACAGATACGATGTTTTTGCCTCTAACAGTAGCTATAAACGTCCCACTCTTCTCTACATCACCGGCGGTAGCAACATCCAAGTGTCCGGCCTTCGCCAGAAGAACCCTCCGAACGTGTTCAACTCGGTCAAAGGTGACGCGAAGAACGTAGTTTTTACGAACCTACGCATGGATGCAACCTCCAAGTCCGCCAATGCCCCAAAGAACACCGACGGCTTCGACATCGGTGCCAGCACGTATGTCACCATCTCCTCCGTCAACGTGAGCAACGATGACGACTGTGTGGCCTTCAAGCCGGGCTGCAACTACGCGACCGTCGAGGATGTCACCTGCACCGGATCGCATGGTATCTCCGTCGGCTCATTGGGCAAAGGCAGCGACGATACGGTGCAGAACGTCTACGCGCACGGCATTACCATGATCAACTCTACCAAGGCAGCCGGTATCAAGACATACCCTAGCGGTAATGGCCACGGGTTATCAACAGTGAAGAACGTGACCTTCTCCGACTTCACTGTGCAAGGGTGCGACTACGCCTTCCAGATCCAGAGCTGCTATGGCGAGAGCGCGTCCTACTGCGCGAGTAACCCGGGCAATGCCATTCTGCAGGATATCGTCGTGGAGGGTTTCTCGGGGACCACAAGCAGCAAGTATGATCCGGTAGTCGCGAACCTGAATTGTGGCGCCGACGGCACTTGCGATGTTAGTATCAGCGACTTTACTGTCAAGGCGCCATCTGGAAAGGCAACCGTTTTGTGTGCTAACACGCCTTCGAGTCTGGGTGTGACCTGTACCTCGGGTGCTTCAGGTTAATTTCTTCAGCAGATGATTGTCCCTGCGGCTGATTCGTGAGAGAAAATCGGGTCGTGCTGTTTCTATGGTTGACCTGCTTTGGACGTGAAAGACCGCAGGCTGACCAGTTACTCTCTTATGTCTTCTTTGTTTAGTTCGATATGTACCATGATTGGCTCTACCTTGCTTTCATTGCCGCGATTGATTCCCCTTGACTGTATGACTGTTCACAGATATTTACCCAGGTCAATCTCTGTCTTGCCTAGCACTCATGTTTTTGTATAGGCATATTTTGGGCACTCTTATGCGCTCTGTCCAGAGCAAAAGACTTCTTGCTGGCTATCTCCATGATAGCAGGCCATGTATTCGCAGGCCCTCGTTACTCCTCCACTGTATAGGTCAATCGAATCGAGGCTGATAATACCGAACACCGGAAGGCCCTTGACATTCCATACTGAAATACTCCAGTAACAGGCCGAAAACAAGAGTATTTCCCTCTCTCTTACGGCAAATGACCTCGCCTATAACGTGATGCAGTTCCACGAGGACACCGACAAGAGGCGGCCTTTCAAGCTGTGCTACATGAGGAACTCATGCTACAATGAGCACTTGGATAGGGGTGCGCAGTGGGTGAAGAGCGGCAGCGGTTTTTGTCTGTGGATTTCGAGGGCTGGCCTAATAGGCCAGATACCAACGCTGATTATATGGCCAGTGATTTCGCGGACTGGTTCTTCAACCTTTAAGTGTTATTTATCTATAGTTCCCTCGAGCGAAAAACTGCTTTCTGATACTGACAGCTAGCAGATTAATATCGCGCGCTATTCTTTCACTGGATTTGTTTTACATGACCTGAGGGATGGCAGCAGTACTTGGTCCTATTCTCTAGGATCCAATGATTCTTGTTTGAATTACGGCTATTAGTATCTTTGTTAAAGCTGGCATTCTTTCCTAAATCAAGGAAGTCATCTGCCTCAGCCCCGTCAGCCTTGGTGATCAGCCTTGCCCATTCTCATCAAACCCAACTGTATGAAAAGCAAACAATGGCGACATGTACGGCACCCAACTATATACCTATCTTCAGAAAGAGCATAAATACCAGCTGATCTCCAGGTTGGGCCTTCTTCACCTTTGCACCCGGCCTACTCGACCTATTTTTCTCACATACTCAAGCAGCCGCGGGCTCCTCTTCTCTCTATTCTACTATATCTCCCGATCCAGACTCACGTCTCCATCTCGTCCAGGCAAGAAATCATAATATCCAATTCGTAAAAGATGGGAGTATGAGCGACCCCCCAATGCAGCTTGACTTTTTCTAAGTTTCTGACCTGAAATGCCACAGTTCCAACCTGGCGCCCGCGTTTATTATGGCGGCGATACCAGCACTATCTACATTGTGCTCGGAGTCACTGATAGATCCTATGGCACAAGAGTCTATATCCAGAATGAAGATAACCCGGATCGGCTCTACACAGTGGAGGAGAGTGACTTACGACATGTGTGAAAGAGATTCATAATATATATTGTCTGTGTTCTCTTATTTTACTTTGCCTGTACGCGCAGCTGCCTGCGACGAACACTATCTGGTAGACCATGCAGTCGAGTCGCATCATTTCCAGTGGGTAATATCTCCTGAGCTATAATCCGACACTTTGAGGCGTGCAGCTACCACCAGTCTGGCACGCGTGTGATGCTGATTCAGAAAATCCCTGCTCTTAAACATAGATGTTGTTGTCCGTCTGGTGAGACATGGCCAACCACATCTTTTCTGAGCTGGAATTGAAGCAGAAACAACCAGTGACATTTGGGACATCTCCTTGGCGTACACAAATCCTTCCAATCGGACGAAAGGGCATTGTCTGCTATACCAGGTTAATCGCCGCCGGACAGGTTCAAGCTGATGTTGTTCTGCTCACGAGGTTCTCCATCTGACTCGCATCCTTGCCCCAGGGAGGCTGGGCCGCCTGCCTTCTTTCTGATCTAAAGGTGATGGTCGTACTATTGGAGTATTAACCCATTTCCGGAAGGATACTGAGCCTCATCCGAAACGGCTGTATGCGAGGCTGAATAGATCAATGGCATCAGGAGTAGATGGATATCGAATGCCACTACGCAATAAGCACGCTCCCGAATCAATCCCCATCGCTCGCCCTTAAAAAACTGGAGTAGATCCCCGGTTTAACTAGAAGTGCAGTGTATACAACCGACAAAGCATCATAGGATGTACATCCACTTTGAAAGCTACCTAGATCTGAATTCAGATCGAGGGTGAGGCGCGAGGGTAGGAGCAGAGGGAGGACTGAAGATTTGCTTTGAATAAATTTTCAATCATGCTGAATTTTCTGACAATGGGGAGATGCTCAAACTGAAAGTTCACATGTGCGCATCTGGGAAATAACCTCAAAGTCAAGCACTCGAACTGAATAATTCAAACATCAGCATAATAATTAGGAGATCTAGTGCTTCTGCCTAACCTGTTAGCAGTTCCTGCTCACCAGAATGATCATTTCCGACTGCACACAAGGATAATAAACCTTACTCGACGAGAAAGCTCATGAACCTTCTGCATACCCATGCCTCATTGTACTACAAGGCGTCCGCCATCGCGGTTCGATATCCCCGGTCGAGGAAAGTGCAGTTGGTCTTAGATGACGCCGTTTTTCCAGTGGTCGACCATACAACCAGCGTATGGACATAGGATCTTCAATAGCCAATGTCATACCGGGGAAAGGAGTCGCGTTTCCTATAATCCCTCCGAGGATACTTGAATCGCTCTGCCGGCCCAGATGATCTCTTCTCCCTTGTTTTGGATGGCAGATTTGTCGTAGACTTACAAGGCGACAGTGTCTTTATTCTTAGCCATCGCAAGCATGTCTCGTGTGGTTGAACATAAACTCGATTTTGCAATCAATCAGTACGCTCGGACCTTTATCGTTTTGAATAATCACATCAGGATCATAACTAGGTATCACAGCTCAATCTCCTCATCCTTCGGCCTCGTCATGCCCGCCGCCAACTTGGACCTCGCCCGCAGCTGCGGCCCATACCAATAGAACACAAACGGAATAAAAGTCAACAGCGTCGCAACAACCGCCAACAACAACCCAGCATACTGACTGCCAACATTATGAAAGAACTGCGACGCGAACAGCGGCGACACCGCCCCGAGCGTATTCCGCATGAAGCCCTGGCCCGCGATCGCGGAGCTCGAATTCTCCCCGTAACAATCCGAGGTAAAGCTGTAGCAACTTTCGAAGATAAAGAAGATCCCGATAGTAATGAGGACCAGAGCTATCAGGGGCCCGATCCAGTGCAGCTCCTTGTACTGCGTGAAGCTGTAGATGAATAGCCCGACGGGCAGCCAGACCGAGCCGAGCATGGCGCCGTACAGACGGGCCTCGGGCTGCGCCTCACGGGCGGGATCGGCGACGATGGACTTGTATTTCCTGATCTGCAGGAAGTTGAGCAGGAAGCCGATGGTGGTCCCGATGCAGAGAGCGATATAGGGCAGGCCCGCGACGCCCTCGCTCCACCCTTTCTTCTCCTCGAAGGTGATGGGGATGACGGATAGGAAGAGGAAGGCGAGGAACCACGCGAAGCTGATCCACAGGCCGAACGCGAACACAACGGGCTCGGTGATTAGCATGTGGATGGCCTTGACGGAGGAGTTGTGCAGCATTTCCTTGAGCCCGGGGGCCTCGAGGTCCTTCTGCGTGACGTAGCGCTCGTCGCCCGTCTGCTGGCGGAGGATCTTGGCCCGCTTGGCCAGGGTGACGCTGCCGCGGGTTTCGCGGAGACAGAGGGCAATGATGATGGCGAGAGGCACGTTGGCGAGACCCTGGATTCCCTCGATCCAGCGCCAGCCGAGCGTCTCGTCGATGAAGCCGGCGTAGATGGGTGCGCCGACGGTGCCCAGGATGGCGACGTAGGAGAAGGTCGCCATGGGGACGGCCCGCTGGTTGGGCGTGTACATGTCGCCAAAGGTGCCGCCGACGAGGATGGTCCCAACACAGCCGAAGAGACCAAGCAGGGCGCGGCAGACAATGATGGTGGCGATGTTCTTGCCGAGCGCGAGACCGATGAACATGATCGCGAAGAGGAAGTAGGCGCCGACGTATACGATGCGCCGTCCGGCGAGTTCGCAGAAGGGGGCCAGGAATAGCGGAGCCAGGGCACAGGTGAAGTTGAACGTGAACAGACCGAGCTGACCTAGCTCAGAGGAGACACCAAACTCTGCCGTCATGCGGGAAATGCCCGAGCTGTATGCTGTGGTCGCCAGACCGATGAACAGAGTCATCAGACAGAGGAGCAGGGAGATGAACGCCTTGCGCTTTGCACTCCAGTTGAAGGGGTTCTCCCTGTCTCCCTCCGCAAAATCAAGCACAATGTATTGTTTCCCATTATGGTCTATTGTCTCCGTCAGGGTAAGCGGCATATCAACATCGACCTTTTGAATTGGACCTTCATCAGCAGCAAAGGCATTGTCATCATACAGCTCCTGCAGGTGCTTCCCACCTGCGATACGACCACGCTGGTGCTGCTGAGTTTGATGGTGGGATTGGGCATTCTCAGCGTGAGAAGCCAGGACGGGCTGGGACTTGTCGGTCTTGTCCATGGCGGGAGTATGGAGATGGGGTAGAGGGAGGGACTGCGAGGGCGTGTTCAAGGTCTCGGTGAACGTCCTAGATCTGGGACGGCTTGCTTAGATATAGAAGGCGAGTATTGCTTCGTCATCGAGCTGCATAAATCATGCGGTGGGACAGGAGCTGGAACTCGGGTGAGTTGCTTCCTGGAATGACAGAGCATAGTGAATGAATGATTTGTGCTCCATAGTGTGAGGTCTCTGGGAGTGAATAGTCTCGGGTGGTTACGGAGTCCGGCTCAGGGCATCAGCTTATTGTCTCCAACTGCGCTTTTCTCTGATGAGGTGTGATCTTTTGCCCTTACTGAGGAGGAGACACGCCATTCTCCAACTGCTGTGGGTCACCTCGAAGATTTTTAATCATTTGCGTAAACTTCGGAGAAACTCTGCCTCACTTTCATATCTGACAGCAACCCAGCTCCTCAGGTTATACTATACTCACCCTCTCTTGAAACTCGACAATGAAGGGCCTTTCCACAGTAGATAGTATATGCTCATCTCCATGAGATCAGAGTATACGAAACCATCTTAAGTCCAAACCTGGCACCGCCAAGGCAAAAGCATGGTTTCGGAACTCGCCCGAGATCGACCCAGCCGTGACGATCTGATCATCCACACCGACCGAAAACAGGGTCAACCGGTGGAAAGTGATGCGGACAAGCCGAAGCCGGGATCCCGAGTCATTGTATTCTCATTTTTGGTGGTCAAATCGGACATGAAGCACCGGCCCGAGTCGGCATTCCCTGCCTCACTGGCTTGATGCTCACGCCTTACGATTTGCCACCCCGTGGGTACATCCCTCGCCCCGGTGGACTATATTGGAGTCTCGGGAAGACTTCGGTGAATTTGACCAGCGATAGAGTGATGCTGGAGGAGTGATCGAGGGAAGGCATTGCGTATAAATAGTTGCTTTCTCTGCGAGTTTGATTTGATTCGAAATCAAATGATGAGCTAGGCTTGGACTCTTGTCAAGCTGGGTGCGAATTCTGGAGATCGAGCTGTGATACCTAAGTTATGATCTTGAGATGATTATGGAAGAACAATAAAGATCCAGTGGCATACACAATTGCCCTGTCTACTTTAACCTCAAATTTATCCGCAAACTCTAGATCAAGAACACCACCCCGCGCGAGTCTAGCTAGGTGATTTACAGTCCTGCTTTTGATACTTTACAAGTGATACAACACCATCTAGTAGGCAGCTGTGTTTATCGCCTGAAATATATTCCCATTCAGCTTTATCCCATGAGCTACCTCATGGTCTTATCATAGAGGCGGCATGCCCGAAAACTGCTCAGCCCCTCCAACGGGACAAATCCAGCTTACACGTCTATTGTTGTATATCTCTAATTCTGGCTTGTATTGATTCAGAATTTCAATATCATCGAAGATCCCTGCACGGACGATTGTCACTTCATCCTGAACCCCAGAAGAGTGTATCTTGTGTCCATAGAGCGGTGTGCCTAGAAGTATTATCAGTTAAATCCTTTCTAATTCCAGGAATAGGATCAGCACCACATACCACAATCTGAACAGAAATAGTTTTTGATATAATTTCCGCTGTCTGATGTTTTTGCTACTTCCTTTGGACTTCCCGAGATCTTCAGGTCCACAGTTTTAACAACAAAACTGTAGGTATAAAGACCCCCAGTAAGTTTGCGACAATCAACACAGTGGCATAATGCCTATTAAAAAGGGAAGACTATTAACTGAATTGAATAGTCAACTTTCAAGAGGATAGATACTAACAGTTGTAATAGGCTGGCCACTATATTGAACTCGGATCTTTCCGCAAAAGCAGCCACCAATCGCCATTTTCCGAGCACAGGTGGTTGGATGTTGTGATTATCGGAGTATACGGTGTGGAACAGCTTCTATGAAGAATGTCCCTAATAAGCAGGTTCTTACCTGGATCAGGTGGATATTTATCCAAGCTGCAAAGCTAAGAGCCCCAACATAAATGGGTTGGGTATCAAAGGCCTCAACCTCGGTGTGTTGGGATCATCTAGACACGTGTCTGAATTCTACAGTACAAACAGACGAAGCAGCTAACAAGTTCTTGGCTCCAGGCTATGATATTATAGTATTATTAATATATGATACGCTAACGTAATCCACAACCGAGCGAGCCACCCAAGGGAGCGAGCCACCTCAGAACCCCTGAAAACTTGCATCCATTGGATCATCATCAAACCCAATTTTCCATCCAATATGACATCAAAACAACCAGATTCAACTGTTAAATTAGAAGATCGCATATCTCTTGCAGTCAAAGCATACCAAAATGGCCAGCTTAAAAGCATACGAGCAGCAGCAGCAGCATATGATGTTCCTCGATCTACTCTTACACATCGAATTAGCGGCCGCAAAGCGCGGGTTGATATACCAGCCAACTGCCAGAAGCTTAGCAGTCTAGAAGAGGGTTCTTTAAAGAAATGGATTCTGGATATGGATGAGCGCGGCCTACCACTAACTCAGGATACTGTACGCAAATGGCGGATATCTTACTATCTCATCGGAATCCGGGCCTATCTACTGGAAAGAACTGGGTCAGCAACTTTATCAAACGGCATGATGATCTTATATCAAAATATACCCGCAAATATGATTACCAGCGTGCAAAATGTGAGGACCCAGAAGTCATCAACCAATGGTTTAATCTTGTTAAGAATACCATAGTAAAATATGGTATTCTTGAACAAGATATCTACAACTTTGATGAGACTGGCTTTCAAATGGGTGTAGCCCATACAGCAAAGGTCATTACTGCATCCCGTCATCGAACAAGCCGCGTACGAGCTATACAGCCAGGGAATCGCGACTGGGTCACTGTCATTGAATGCATCAATGCCTCTGGATGGCCTCTCCCCCCTATGATCATCTTCTCCGGCAAGGTCCACCAATCTCAATGGTATCAAGATATCAACCCTGACTGGCTAATCGGCCTGAGTGATAATGGGTGGACGAATAATGACCTTGGAGTTTTATGGTTGGAAAAGGTCTTTGAAAAGCATACTATGGCTCGTACGATTGGGAAATATCGGCTTTTGATTCTTGATGGCCATGCTAGCCATGAATCAGCAGAGTTTGATCTTTTCTGCAAGAATCATCAAATCATCCCTCTTTATATGCCTTCTCATTCATCTGATAAACTGCAACCTCTTAGTGTTGGCTGCTTTGCACCCCTAAAGGAGGCATATGGGATAGAGGTGATGAGAAGCATTCAAAATGGCATTCATCACATTGACAAGGAAAACTTTCTTGATCTTTATAGAGAATCAAGAAAGGCCTTATCATCTAAGAATATCCGCAGTGGATTTGCAGCTTCTGGTTTAGTTCCTTTGGACCCCCAAAGGGTACTAGATAAGCTTACTATCAAGAATATCACGCCCCCTACTACTGCTCATGGACCTGCAGATATTGAATGGATTGCAAAGACCCCATATACTACTACTGAGGTGCAAAGGCAGATGGAGCTTATCAAGCGCAACTCCCAAAGTCCTCCAACTGAGGCTACCCGTCAGCTCGCAAAGGCAGCTGAATCTACTATGCATAATGTCCTTCTCAGATCAGGAGATAAAAGGGCTACGCGCAGCAAATGAGAAGCAGAAGCGAAAGCGCGCAACCCCTAGATCTTTTATTGCTACTGGAGGTGTTCTGACTGGTGCTGAAGGCCAGCAACTTGCCCAAGAAGCTATACAGGTGATGGAACCAGTTCCTAAGAAGCGTGCACCACCACGATGTAGTAATTGCCATCAAATTGGTCATATTAGAACAAGCTGTCCTAGTAGACCTAGATAATTCAAATATTCAAATAATTTTTGCTTTGGTTTGGTTCCGTAGTAAAGATATCTCATGGTTTTCGACCACGGCAAGAATCATGTTCGGGTGGCTCGCTCGGTTGGGTGGCTCGCTGGTTGTGGATTACGTTACCCTAAAATAGATTTTTCAGGGTCATGATAAAAGAGGCTGAGTGCCTTCTTGGCATAGGGTTTGGGAGACAGAAAAACAATCACTAGGGGTGACAGCTCTTGCAAACAACTGTATATCAACATGAAAGACTTAAAACTAACTCCAATTTCATCATATGCGCCAGTAGGGATCGTTATTTACTGCGGCAAGTTCATCGTGCCTGCCTGGAGGACAAGTACATTACCCACAATTCTATTCTCAGTCCGTACCATGGCCTGACCAACAGCACCAAGAGCCTGTCTGGCGTCGGCTCCGACCTCGTCCAGAGAAGAAACGGCTGCTAAAGTCTGCTCCAGCCCATTGTTGCGTCTTCCAACCACGACGATGTTTCCGGCCTTGTGTGTTGTCTGTGACATTTCTTCTTTCACGGCGTCGACAGTAAATTCAATCACATTCTTTTCGTCCGCTTTTAGGGTGAGACGTGTGAAGACAACGCGACACTTGAATTCATCCGGGAGTGAATCTTGCATCAAGGCAAAGAAGGCACCATCGCTCTCGGGCTGTTGCGATGTCACTGATGGGACTGGCGGGCTGGTCGAGCTCTCCCCTTTGGAGCGCGTGGTGTTGGTGACGGATATTTTTGCTGGAGGTGTGGAAGGCACATCAATGTGTAGCACCGTCGCCGTGACCTGGTCGTTTTGAGCGAGCTGAAGAACGAATTGGAGGGCAAAGCGGCCATCATCACCGCCAAAGAACGGTAACACAATATGATGGGACCGGGCTGCGGCCGGGCTAGCACCCCAGACGGAGCTGCGAATACTGAGAGCACTTGCTGTTTTTCTGAGTTGGGGCCGCGGCTTGCCGGAGCTGTGGCTGTACACGCTTCTCTCGACGAGGACGCCCACGTTGCTCGTCGTGGTAGAGAGCACGGTGGAAACAAAGTCTGTGTAGGGGCCGTTGACGAATCTACTGGCCTCGTCGATTCCAAGTCCACTTTGAAGCTCGCTCATGGCACCCGTCTCGCTCCATGGGATTAGTAGGAGATCCGTGGATTCTTCGCGAGCCATCCCCACGACGGTGTCCGCATAGGAGTACTCGGGAACGACGGATACCCCGGCCATGATCGAAATATCGCGCCATTGACCGAAAGCCCGGAAGGTGTTGATGACAGGATCCCACAGCGCGTACTCGTCGATCTCGGAGACCTTCATGACACTAGAGTCTCGATCGGTAAGTTCTACCAGCCTGACGCCATGGACCTGCAGCGCAGGTTCCGGCTGGACTTCTGTCTCGGCGCACTCTTCCGCTGCCGGTTCTGCAGATGACAGGGCTGCCTTGAGCTTGGTCGGATGCAGCTTTGGGGATGGCGGCGCGGTGAGTCCACTAGGGCCCAACAGGGCAGCCAGGGTACAAATGCTGGACAGCCCATCAAGGCGCAGGTAAACGAGTAGCTTGCGAACTGGTGCAGTCTTGAGCTGCTCTTTCGCAGCAGCAACACTGTCCTGACGCCCATGGGATGGGATCGGATCACCATTCCAGTCGATTTCCCCGCGACGCCAGCGCTCCACCTTGATCTGATACCATTTTGGATACAACAGACTGGTCAAAGGGGTGGTCGCAAAAGTCGTCACCAGGGCCATGACAACGAAGATTGTGAATGTGCGGGTGCTGAGGATGCGTGCTTGGAGACCAATGTTCTATCGCGCGTGAGTGATCGACTGGCAAACGAACGAAGGAAGTAGACATACCAAGACAATCAGCTCAACAAGACCCTTGCAGCTCATCAGAACGCCAATGGAGAAACTCTCCCGCCACAGCAGGCCACATAATCTCGAGGCTAGAGCACCACCTGCCACCTTGGCCAAAAAGGCAATCGCAATAACGCCAACGACATATCCCCAGACAGTACCGTTGTCGAGCAGGCCGAGGTTGGTGGAGAGTCCGGAAAGAGTGAAATATAATGGAAGGAACAAAACAGCGACCAAGTCTTCAATCTTCTCGGTCAACTTGATAGCGAAACCACCTTCGTGGGGGCATAACAATCCAATGATGAATCCTCCAAAGATAGCGTGAATCCCAATGACCTGGGTGAAGAATGCCGAGGCAAGAGCGATGAGAAGGGTGAGCGTCACCACAGATTGACTGGGTCCTTTTTGCAAGCTACCGGTCTTGTTGAGGAAGCGCAGGAACAAAGGACGGAATACGAGCGCCAGGAACACGATATAGCCGGTTGCGACAAGCAGCACCCAGAGGGCCGTGATCCCGCTGCCCGCATTGACGAGAGCGACGCAAAGGGCGAGTAAGATCCAACCAACAACATCGTTGCCTACACCGGCAGACAGTACAATGACACCGACATTGGTCCCCAGGAGTTTCAACTCGGTCAAGATACGGCACAACACCGGAAATGCCTGTCTGAATGAGCAGCTGTCATCAATATAGTTGTACGACATAGGGCTCACCGTGATCGCCATCGCAATACCAATGAAGAGCAGATATGTACCGAAATCGATATGAACCATGCCGGGCTCCGTTCGAAACGTGTGATACAGACCATACGATATAGCGGAACCGAGTCCGAAGGGCAATATCATCCCCGCAGCCGAGACGCTCGCCGCCACCCGCCAGTTACTGACGAGAAAACGCAGGTCGGTCTCGAGGCCGACGAGGAACAGAAAAAGCACGAGACCCAAGTTGGCAACCAGAGTCAGGTTGGGAATAGATGCAGCAGGGAAGATTGCATCTGTAAATCCGGGGATCCGTCCCATTACTGATGGACCCAGGACGATGCCGGCAATGACCTCTGCGATCACACGAGGCTGCCGGATCCTGGAAAGGGGCCAGTGAATCAGGCGACATAGAATAATGATGATCGAAGCCTGGTCCAATTTAGTTTCGAGACCTGGTTATCATGATAAAAAGCTGACCTGAATGATGAAGATGACAATCGGATTCTTGGGGTCATAGTGGGATGGATTACCACCTTCGAGGATGCCACCTTGCGGAGGAACGGTCGGCGAGCTGGCGGCCGAAGAGGTGGTGGTGGCCATGGTTTCAGGGAAGTGGCATCAGGAGTGCCTCGAACAAATAAGCACTGGCAACTTTGACGAGTTCTATGCGGGGAGAAATGAGAAATGAGATGTCCAGTATAAAGGATAGTGAGTCAGTGCTTGAGAGAGAAGACGATGAGAGGATCATGTCATCTGATCGGTGATGCCGTGATGCCTGAAACCATCGGCTGAGTCTTGGCACTTGGCAGCTGAGACAATATGGGGAGGGTATTCAGGACTATCTCTCTATCTAGTCTTGATGGTTCACCACATAAAGTAAGGTTAATCTATGACATCGACCTCAGTCTTTTATTATGCTACCCCGGTCCCGACATAAGCATGGAACAGAAGTTGTCTTCCATGCTTTCTATTGGCTGTCATGGTTACGCAGTAGGTACATAATAAGGTATAACCACATGTTGATTAGATAAACACAGAACTTATGGTTTCCAGATTAGCTGGTGACTTTACTGATAGTTGCTATTGTCACTCTTGTCAAATGTAGCTCCACTAGATTCGCGAGGCACAAATTGATCATACATCGTTTGCAGGGTGGGATGAACCACTATATTTCGCGACAGAGGCACATGTGACGGTGTAAGTTGCAGACCATCTTGCATCGCTCGTAAGATATTGCTCTGAGGTGGTAACGGTTCAGTAGAGCCGTAAGGTGTTGCATTGGTGCTGTCAATAGGCGTTAGGGAAATGCAGCGGTAGAGGCTATGGCAAACCTCCCATGCCCTTTGAGCAGCTAGGTTATCTGAAGCCATTGCAAGGAGCCAACACATAGCTTTCTCCACCAGCATAGTGATTTTGCTGGCCTCTTCGGCGTCAAACTTGACGCAAAAATCGAGCTCGATTAGTAAAATAGTCGTTGACTGCATCAGATAATGTAGGATACACCACCAGGGCGATAACCGGATCAGCCAAAACACATCAGGTGTGTCTGGTAATAGGTCAAGTATATCGCAGGCTGAATCAACACATATCTTTGCGTTCTTCCGTTGGTCCGCAGGGGAATCTCGGTGGTGGGGTCGAAGCCGATCGGAGCGGCAAAGAGAAGGGCGAGAAATAGTGATTTTGGTGCTATAGAAGCGAAAAGCAAGGCTCCATCTCTGCCGTTCAAAGAACTTGGACTTCTGCATTGGCCTAAACTGGAATACGTCTGGAAGGCTGCTACTCCACGCATCTGCATCTCTTACCAAGTCCACTATTGCTGCGCCGACTTTAGGCCAGGGTTCTCTAGAGCCGCCGGGAGCATACAGCAAATCAATTGCTCGCCGCATGATCATTGTTATGTCGACGAAATACAGAAAGTAAAGTGCATTACTAGGCGCGGCCTCGTTGACGGTCGAAGCCAAGTAGTGTCCTACAGACGGTGCAGGGTTTGTTGAAACTCGTGAGTGGGTGTGTTTATGCCTTCGGGAACAGAAAGCTTGCATATAGCCATATCGCACACTGTAGTCTGAGAGCAGGTGGGAAGCGATAGGCCCATGAAACTGGTCCTCCTCGTAAGGAATAGGGAGAGGCGTTGTGCAGAACGTATCCGCAGCACTCGTGGGCCGGCCAGTCATGATAGAGAGTGTGTTCTCCAGCGTGTATATGGACCACCAAACGCGATACCGGAGCTCCTTCGAGAAATTCGGCGTGTCCTTACTCTCGCTTCGTAGATTAATCCCCAATGCGATGGCGGACCTTATGGAGACACCACAAGTTCTCCATGCCCTGCAGATCGCATTAGAAGGCATAATTCTGGAGCTTATGATGAACTAATGAGAGTTGAAAACTGTACCTATTGACGTGCCCCATTGACATGAGCCAAAACGCACTCAAGCCTTCGGCTTGCACCTGCTGCAGGTTGGGATGATCGAAGAGCAGGCAACTTGTAAAATTGAGCCTCTGAGCCCGGGAAAAATACTCCAAGGGCCCATCTGTACCTTTCGTCCACGGTTCAGAAAGAAGATGACCGAATTTGGACCCCAGAGCAAAGATTAAGTTAAGGATCGCAAGCCACTTGCCCGGTGGTCGTATATTGGGCCGGGAATAATATATTGCATATTGCTGCATAAACGGAATCCTACCAACAATGGGAAAAGACGGATGAACCGCGTTAAAATAGAGATGTATAAGTTTATCTCCAACATTACGAGAAGGACGATCATAGGGGGCAATGCCTTGATCGAGTAACAGATCCTGATCATCCAGAAAATAACTTACCGAGATTAATGCCCTAGAGCCGTCGCCAGATGTCCTTGATTCTGAAGCTGCCGTCTCCGCCAAAGGAGTGCCTTTGTCTATTTCCCTCCTTAAATCACGTATCCACGAGATTTCGGAGTGCGAACCTAGATAGCCGAACGCTTGCAGTTGATGATTCCGGTTGTAGTCCTCCTCAACATAATCCACGGCAAAGGAAGGCTGACTAGACGTAGGATGCGTCGCGCTGACAGGATCCGGAGATAGGGGCTCAGTGATAGAGCTCTTCTATTGAGAATCGTCAAAATGGAGAAGGTGAAATGGAAAGGGACGGACTATGACTTACTTTATGCAATGTCCTTGTGATAAGATCTGCATCTTGAATATCGACTTTTGACCGTAGGTGCTGCAGTAGCTGTTCGTAAACGGCAACCTGCTGCTCGAGTTCTTCAAGTTGCCTATGTAACACTAAGTCAAATGTTCAAGCTTGTCCAGGTATCCTACTAACCTTTCCCTACTCTCGCGTTTACTTTCGAGCGCCGTGCAAGTGACGCCGAAACTGACGCAGCGATCGCATGGCCGATGTTCACTACACTTGGCTTTTTGCTCCCGGCACGCCACACATGCCGTCTTGATGCGTCGATTGCCAGTTGTTCTGGGATGAGCGATTCGCGGGATAGCAACCTTCAATGTGGACGATTGTAGTCGCTCAGTTGATTCTTTATCAGACAACGAACTTCGAATCTGTTCAGCTAGGCCAGAGAAATGGGATGCAGTTGATGAAAGGCGCTGTTCAAGCCTTTGTGCCTCTTCAGACTCCATAACATAACAAAATCAACAAGAAGTGTTAAAAGGCTGAAGCGGATAGAGCGACGTCAGGCTGCAAGACCTTTCTCCTGAATTACGCAGCCTTGGGTGACATCAGCGGCTTCCCCACTAACCCCACTTACCCCACAGCTAACTGCCGAAGCACTGATAGGACGAAGCAAATTCGGGACATGCGGGGTTGCTCAGCCACATATTTAGATTTACAAGTTACCGAATTCGGCCTTCTGATACTCGCTGACAGCAATCAGTCAAGATGCAAGAAAGTGCGGCTAACTCGAGACGAGATGATTCAATAGAGATTGGGTTGGAGGCACTCCAAACAAAGCTACAGTCCCTGGATGGGCGGAAAAGGGTCATTGAAGGGGTCACTGCTGTTCTCCACCTCCACTCCATATTTGGTTATAGTTGAGCAGATTGAGAATGACAACTAGCACTCGGAGTGATGCGAATTAATGTGGAAACCATCTCATAATGCAATTAATAGATTACCTACCCAGACACTTAAAGACACACTTCAATTATTTTCAGTCCTGGATCTCACCGGCACCATTTACTCAGACCATGACACTGGCTGATCCCTGAGTCAGGAATGCGCGTACACTGAATGGAGTTGTGTAGGGGTACCTCTAACAGTGGATATATCAGTGATCTTAACTGAATCAGTGCTCCACATCCATGGATCTTCCAAGAGAGGGAGCTTTATATCAGGTAGGGTTTATGGATATGGCCGGAGCCTTCAATCTAGGGAAGCGCACCTTTGGTTCAAGCGCTCTGGCACTATGCCCTCAGTCTTCCATTATTGGCGACTACACTATTGATTTCCCAGTGTACTGGAAAGTTCTGATCGATATGGGATAATAATCAAGAATTCCTGGTATGGTTGCTGGATCAACGGGCTCCTTACAATGTGGCGGCGTCACTCTAGGCCCATGGATAGCTGACATGTCCAGGAAATGGGTTCTTTTGAACTCTGGGGTTTTGAGTAATACTATTTGGATTCAGAATGAGGCATGTTAATACTTGCAGTAAAAATACTCTTTTGTGGCATATGTCAAAGAAATATAACTCGATGTAATGAAGCTGGCTTTTTCCTTTATGTACTTTGCAGCAAAGGACGGTTCTATCCATAGATATTGCTGCTTCGGGAAAGGGTCTAGACTCCGTTAGTTGTCGCATTTCCTGCAAAGGGAACTTGTACAGTGGTCCAGATTCACAATGCTAGTATTATCCAACTATCAAAGACCCCTTTCCAGGGTGATGTCTGCGACTAGGCAAAATAACTGTGCGTATTATGAAATAGCTGTCACATTGACATGCCTAGCCATAGTAATGATGACACCACCGTGCCTCAAGCCATTGATGGGAGAGTCGATGAGACGATCTGCGTTTTAATTGGCAGTATATGACAAGATCATAAGAGATGGAATGATACTGTCAGTCTGTCGCCACCTGAGGCGATGATGGTCTGACGCCCTGAGGTACCAAATTATCACATGTTCGATCTGAATAACTGCTTGTTGCACCAGATGCGTGTTTAACATAGGCGAGCACTATTCATATCATCATATGGAAGCTGAAATAATCTGTTGTGCTAGTCTTGGTGCCTGTATGTAACAGACCGGCCTAATACTATTGATATTGAAAATGACGGGCATCGGGGTAGGGGTTCCGACTCAGTCTGGAGCTTAGTGATGGTTCAGACACTAGCTTATGTTTGAAAACACTGGAAGTCTATTTCGCACTTACTTTCAGTCCGTTCTCTCTGCTAGCAGTCCGACGAGGAAGAATTGGAAGCTTAACAAAACTAACCTGCAGTTCATGTTTCAACCATCCTGCTACGTTTAAGAGCTGGCAGAAGAACTATTAATGGCTGATGTTATCTATACAGATACTTCCAACATACTGATAACTAAAGATAGGAATCCGCGTTTTCAGAGGACAGTAGAGATGTACCCTCGTGCCAATCCCAATTCAGTTCTGGTGCATGAAGGCAGAGGAAGAAGCTTCCATGAGCTACTAGCGCAAACCAATGCCTGCCAGGGGCGCTTCAACCATGTATTCGTTGTCGAGAACACTGAACCAATCTGAGACCCCAGAAGGTCAGGGTAAAGGAACAGAAGGCCAGCGTCCTATGGACCAAGCTCCTACCAGCAGCGGCGTGCCATACTCCGTCGTAGGTTTCCTCCCCAAGAAATTCAATTTCAACCGATTTCTACGACGATACACCAGAACTAATGCCTAGATTCAATAGTTCAGGGGCGAGGTTTCAGTCATCCCCAGAAGGAGGACATGATGAGGAATGCCAGCTAGAATGGCCAAGTACATGGATACCTCGTATGGTGGTGAGCGTAGGTTTCTCTTCGCATATCAGAGGACAGTGTGCCTTTCGTTTTTCGAGCTTTATTGGTGACTAATATACAATTATCCCCAAAGGGAAACAAGCTCATCTGGTGTTTGCAGATTGTCAAAGACCAGGAACCCTGGGACTACGACCCGACTCCGGATACACTCACGCCTTGATGTTGTGAAGAGCATCATACATTAGAAGATGTATATTCACCACTTGTTTATAGCTTTCAAATCCAGCTCGTGGAATCTAGCCTTCTAATAAAGCTTATATTTAGGTCTTATATCCGTTACCATAGAAAGAGGTGATAAACAGCCACAGAAAGAGTAGGAAGACAAGGGTGCCAACATAGAACATATAATCAGTCCTTTGTCTGAATAGGATGACTGTCTTAAGAATAGGAGATTCATTTCTGTTGGTCAAATGTTGTCTTGTCATGGTAGGTCCAGGCGTGCAGATCTTCAACATGACAATTCAGACTACCCCATCGCACCAACGCCTAATCTGAGACGTATGACTCTACCATATGATCCCTCTTGAACTTCATATAATCCGATTCAAACAACTCATTTGTGGAATATGACATGCCGACTAGAAGTGACAATTGCCTGATCAGTCAACACTGCTCCGGTGACGTCACGCCACCAAATCCTCAGGCGTTGCGTGATGACATGGATGACTCTCTCTCCACTTTATCAACAAACAGCTATTCATACTCAACTGCAAATATCGTAACTACATTGAATAGTATCATGTCCTTCAGCAACCTAGCCCACATTAGCATTTCCGCTCCCAAGGAGCAATTCGAGTCCGTCGTGGGCTGGTACAAAGCCGCCCTCGCCCCCTTCAAATACCGCGAGTTGAGACGCCTCCCCAAAGCCGTCGGGCTGGGTTCCGAAATGCCTGATCTATGGGTGGTACAGGAGGATGTCCCGACGCAGCAGCGGTTGCATTTTGCCTTGATGGCTCCGGGTATGTTTCCCTTGCAGTTACTTGGGTCTTGGCTCATGATGGTAGATCATGCGACGGTGGACGCTTTCCATCAGGCGGCGATTGCGGCGGGAGGGGTAGATAATGGAGCACCGGGGATTCATCCCGAGTATGACGAGAACACTTATGGGGCTTTTGTATTGGATCCGTTGGGGAATAATGTTGAGGCTGTAAGTCTTTTGTTCCGTACGAGGTAGACTTGTTTGATAACGCGATTCAGGTCGATTATTGCTCCCATGAGGAGGAATATCGGTAAGAGCTCTATATTAGGTTGGACTCGCTAGACTTCAGAGTATGCCATCTACATTTTGATGCTGCGTTATCATTAGTACGAACATATCTTCTGCTTCCCTGTCAATCAAATGACTGCTATGATCACTCAATCATGGGCGTTAATCAGGCTTGTCCCGAGATAAATTCATATAATACAGTTGGGACCAATAATGGAGATTCAGATTCATATATCGGTATCCAGTTGCAGCTGCAAGCGCTAACGACGGTGGTGGCCTCTGTGAATGTGTTGATGCAAGTGCTGGCCGTCAGGCTGCTGAGCAGGATAGCCACGCCGGCCAACTTCTTCTGCCTTCGCGGCAAGTGTTTGGGCTTCGCCAGGAGTAGTGGTTGTCCTGGTCTCAAAGACCGAGGGAACAAAAACCACTGGAGAAGTAGGGACAATGGTAGGCTCAATTGCTTCCAAAGACGTGATGTTGACAGAAGGGTTGTTGGCAGTGGATGAGACAATTGAGGTCTCAATAGCCACAGAAACGGACGAAGCAGCAGAGGTGATTTCCGAAACAGCGACGACAATGGATGAGCTGGAGACCTCCTTGTACGCTCCTGCTGCAGTAGACAGAATAGAATCGCTCGGACTCGAGGTGACAGCCACACAGCTGGAAACAGCAACGACACTGGCGCTGCCGGTCGCCGCAGCAGAAGCAGCAGCCAATGGGCTATAAGCCGTGACTTTCCCGTGGCATGGAACTCATAACCCAGGCCTGGATCGCACCACGGGAGTTGCTGCTGAATAGCTCAAAATCACTGCTATGCGCGATGGTAATCATATTCCCCCATCGGTGCCATTGCGGTAGATGATACCGTCAATCTGCAAGGCTCACGCACTTCCTTTGTCCAGCAGTGCCCAGGTGGACATGGCGTACTTGTCTTTGGGGACATCCACCAGACCGCCGGTCTTGCAGTCATCAAAGCCGTCTAGAGGCGGCTGGCCGAGGTCAGTGGAGAGGTCGGCGTTGGCGCCGTATTCGAGGACATTGCACGTTTTGAGTTTTTGACTGCCGCTTTCTTTGTTGCTGTTGTGAGAGGACCGACTCGACCTGTGAGTTGGGAAGAGGCCAAAAGTGGCCCAAGGAATGCAAGGGCAATCAAGCGCCATATCTTGACCAAACCTGTAGAAGTTGGCCTTAAGGAAGGATGATATAATTATAGAATGACCCAATGAAACAAAATGTGGCAAACGATCCAGCGTTTGCAGAGAGAGTGTTTGGTATGGACAGCAGTTAAAGAGAGTACGGACAACCTCATAATTGGTAATGTGCTTCACGTTCGTATATAAAGCAGGAAATCAACTCTAGGACCATTCCTGCTTGCCCTTGCTCCATGCTGTGCAGTCTGGTAGTCCATAGCAGACATAATGTCTAACTCAAACACCTGCGCAGACCCACCAACGACATTATTAGCATATCCAGCCGGAGGGAAACCGTTCAAGCATAGTCCCACGGTCTAGATAAGATCCTTTAGGCCTATCACCAGCTCCATTCACTTAGACCATGATACCAGCTGATTCCTGAGTCAGGAACACGCGTACACTGAATGGAGTCATTCAGGGGAACCTATAACAGTAGATGTAATTTTTTAATTGAATCAGTGCTCCACGTTCATGAATCTTCCCAACAGGGGAAGCTTTTGTATCAGGTTTAGTTTACAGAGTGTGCCAGAGCCTTTAATCTAGGCAAGTGCAGGCCTTTGGTTCAAGCGCTCTGGCACTATGCCTTGAGTGTTCCATCATTAGAATACACCATTAATTGCCCAGTTGTGCATGAAAATTGAAGTTCTACACCTACTTTTGACAAATCCTCCAGACTCTTAGTAGAAGTTAATAGTCATACAGGATAATAATAAAGAATTACTAGTATGGTCGCTGAACAGCTATTCACGTAACAACCCACCTGATGCGAATAGGCAAGGAGAAGAACCTTAAACCCAACATAGATCAACTATTGCTGGGGACAAAACTCCCTCTCAAACTCCTGCCTTTCCAACTCATGCTCCTCGTCTTGACTCAGCGGCGGCGCGGGATTGGCCTGAACCTCCCGTTCCTCCTGCTCCATGCGTTGCCGCAGCCGCTCCATATCAGGTGTCTGATTCGGAGGCGTAACCAGCATCTCTCCCACCATCGCCGCTTCTCGATAACGATTATGCCTTCGCAAATGTCGATAGAACGCGCGCAGCAGGTATGATCGGAGTTGATTGTCCGCTTGACCCTGTGACGATTCAGGAGGAGGATTACTTGGCGACGTGGAGGGACCTGCATTCCCGGTTCCTGCATGGGCAGCGGGTAGTGGAATAGTCTGCGTCGGAGCAACAGGAAACGGCGTCCCGTTGATCTTCTTGTGTGCGTAGTCAGCTACTGTTCGCAGACACACATTGCGCAAGCCGTTCTGGAGCCGCCAGTATCTGATTTCCTCGGGTACGACAGGCCCGACATAGACTGTATTCGGATGGTCAAGGGCAAGAGGCCATAGATCTTCTAGTAACGCGGATTGTGCTGCGTGCATGGCGTATAGATCTCCCCAGACCAGGCTGCCCAGGATTCGCATCTGCCCATGGTAACCCGGGCATTCATCTGGACGATCGGGACCCTCGGCTGCGTCCCAATCGGCGTCGACGGCTAGCACGAAACCTGCGTACTCTCCGTTGCGCGTGGTGGGCAGGGCGGCGGAGTAGCTCGGGCCTGTGTATGAGGCGACACTGGGCTCGTCGACTACGAGAAACATCCGGTCGTTTACCTGGTCTTGAGCATCAAACGATGAGAGACCGAGATCATGGAAGTGTCTGTGACGTTAGCATTCCGAAGCAATTAATCTAGGAGAGAACTCACTTTCTTGCTCCCTCGACGTCTCCTTCTGGAATGCCTAAAGCCCTCCCATCCATCCAGTGCAGCTTCAGGTACGGCTTGAGTGCACTCGAGCCTGTCTGTCCCCGACCCCAGTCCGCAATGTGTTGCTCTATTTTTTGTCTGCACGCATTCCATTCGGCATCGCTCTGCTCATAAGTCAGCCGGTAGACGGCCAGCCCAAATCCCCGAGTTCGGTCGTTCGGATTCTCAATCTGATTCAACGACCTCATAATCCATGGCTCCCGGGGTACCGGCTCAATCGGATTGCCGCGCACTTCTCGCCGCAACTGATGCTGACTATTGATCTGATCGAGGGCCGTCTGGTGCAGTCCCGCCGGATCCGCAACGTGGTGAGTCTCACCCCTCGCACGCGCCTGCATGATCCTCTGGTATCGCGCTGCGTGTGAGACTTGCTTGAGCCTCTGCGAGTATGCTTTTCCACGCTCCGACCAGTTCGTCGAGCGGAGAGCGGGAGGGATATTTGGCGGCGCAGCTGGTGCAGTGTAGCCCTTGTATCCGTCCATCGGAATACGAATACCGTAGTCGGCGACGGAGGTGATTTCGGCCAGCATGTGTAATGCGTCGGTTGTCCGCCACTGGACTCTGTCTACCACGTCTAGATCCACGGGACGATGCCAACGCAGCGTATCGAGTAACGGGGGGCGAAGTGCGCTGACTTTGACCGTTACCCAGCGATGAGCTCGCTCCGTCATGACCTCGATGTGGGCCGTCATGAATGTGGTCCAGAGGCTCGTCACGCTCACGGACGGTTGCTGCTTCTCTCCACGTTGTCTATTTACCATAACCTCCAACTCTCTCCAATGCTCCCAGATCAGGTTGAACGTGTCACGCATGTTCTCCATAACCTTGGGCTGATTCAAATACTCAAATGCTGCACAAACGGCCGACAGATGCTGACAAGCCACGTCGAAATTATCTTTCCTATCGAGGCCCTTCTCCTTCCAGCGCTGCTCACAGAACGGGATAATCCCCTCCCACAATCGGCTCTTCAGGGAATGGATGTTCTTCCCAACCAAGCACAACCGGTCCCCATCCTGTTCGGACCCGATGCGACTCATGACCCGGTCAATGATGACGGTTTCATCGGCAGCGGGGTCAGGACTTGTATGCAACAACGGGAGCTCGTCCGCCGTCATACGCACAAGCTCACAGTCCTTGCCATTGGGCAGCGTACCGCCCAGCGCAAACTCCAAGAAATGTGCTATGGTCTGCGGCTCAATGAGGCGATCAACTAGAGGTGGATCTCAGCATGAGCCTCGACCGGTGATCCGGCGCTGTTCCGTGGGCGTTGCTAATAACCTACCAATTTCCAGGTCTTGGTTCTCGATGTGGACTTTAGTGATGACACTGTTCAGTGACACGTTGCTGAAATCCGTGAATGAATATGGCCGGGTTCCGCTCGCCATTTTGTCGTCTGTGATGCGAACTGTGATCCAGGCTGCTGCGACAGAAAGGGGCGATGGAGTTTTAAGGCGCAGGAGGGTCGGAGGGTCCAGGCACCAAGCAGCCAACCGAGGTGTTGCCTAGTGCAGCTTGGCTGCCAAGCACATTAGTCCATTTCGTTTCCTGGTTGCGATGGCGCTTGGACGAATCCCTGATCGGGAAAGAGAGGCTAAAAGTTGGTGGAGAGGTTTAGTCTCCAGCAGTCGCCTGAGGCAACAGTATCTGCCTGATTGCCTGATTTTCTGAGGGGTCAATTGAGACTTCTTACAGCGGCAAGTCTGTACTTGCTCAATACAGACCTCCTACTAATGCCTAAAACAGGTATACCTCTGCCTTTAGGTCTTGTAAACTTCCTGTACTATATAGAAAATTAGAAATTTCCCCAGCTAGTCAGGTAGACTAGCTGACCCAATCCGCAAATGGGTCGATCTGGGTGGGCCCTGATCCAACCCGCGGCCATGTGGATACGGATAACCCAATGGTTGCACGTGACCTGGAGCCTGTTTGAACTGATAAGCCTATCTAACCTTATCTAGGCCTAGGTAAGCTTATATTATATATAAAGAGAGAGATAATAGTCCTCTCTATCTATTTCTAAAATATACAGATATCCTAGTGGTGTGGCTATAATACTAGAAAGATGGGTGGTAATCAGAATACTACGGTTACTGCCTTAGTATGGTGGATATATCCATTATCCGCAATCCAACCCGCATGGATACGAGGGTGGGTTATATAGGTGGTGGATCAACCCAAACTCAACCTAGAACTATAAGGTGGATGAATCCAAGACACACAGGAATCACAAATGCTGGGCGGAACATCATGACATTCAGAAGGATGTTGTTGGCATGCAACTGTCTGAGCAATCAGAGGCGCTGGGTGGTAGAATGATGATCAGAGGATAATGTAAAAGTGATGAGCAATTGATGGGAAGTTGATGGGTTGGGAAATGTGGGTTTAATAAGTGCAAACTGTGGGGGAAGGCAATTGGAGCAAATTGAGCTGGCCTGATATAAGACAAGGAACGCCAGAATAGGCCAACAAATGACGACCAGCAATATCAACAGTGTTATTAAGTTACTTGACCAAGGGGTCCCGATGATTGTTAGCACTTCCAACTTGCAGCAAGTCACCTCGACTAAGCACTTGTTGCCTCCTATATCCAGTGGCGAGATGAAAAATAATCATTGATATTATGCAAGTGTACCTAAACTAATCGAAAGCGGCTTTGCATGATGAAATCCTTCATTGGTATAGTGGTGAAATGGCGTCTAGGTACATCCGTGAACTGTGGGGTGAGTTGCAGGTGATTGCCGGTACACAGTGGACGAAGAAACTCAGCCACGGCCTTTTGACTGTTCATTTCAGCCCAATCAGCAGCAGTTTTGCCCATAGGGTCTCTGATTTGAGGCGATGCCCCTCCCTCGACCAAGAGCTTGACGGAATCAAGCAATCCTCTCCCAGCCGCATAATGAAGGGGTGTGCCTATACCGCTGTACATATGGAAATAATACTCTTCACCACAATTCTGATACATAATGTCGTTGACCGGAAGACCCTTTTCTAGAAGGTACCTCAGAACTTCTAGCCGATCATCCAGCTCGCGCATCGCCGCATAATGCAGCACCTGACCTTGCTGTAAAGAGGCACCGTGGTTGAGAAGAAGTCGGATAGTTGTGAAGTTGGCCTCTCTGAATGCGATGGATAGTGGAGTACAATTTTTGTATCTATCACATCGCTGATTGGGGTCTGCTCCATGGTCCAAGAACCATTTGGTCAAACTTGTGTCGCGGAAAGAACATCTACATGTGAGCCATCAGCATATTATAAGTACTAGAACGAAACCGACTCACGCCAGGGCTGGGGGTGTGTTTGAGTCAATTGGCGCGTTGATGTCCCACCCGTGGTTAAGAAATGCCTGCAAAATTTGGTATGACGTGTTTTCAGTCGCTTTCATAAAAAGCCAAGGATTCATGGGAACTTGATTGTCGAGAAGACATTCGACAACTTCCAATGAGTTATCTTCTATTGCCTTGTAAAGAACAGGAACGGTTTTCGCTTCGAACGTTTCGTCGTCAATGGAACTTTCGCGCAATTGGGAAAGGGTAGCATAGAGTCGTTCAATATTGCCCGACAGAGCTACCACCTGAAGTTCAGTCATCTGGTCAAGTGCAATAAGATCTGAACTCGACATAATATTTAAAAGAAAATTGTGAGGAAAGCGGAAGTCTGAACAAGATGAAAGAGAAACGAAGGGGCAATCAGGCGTTTTAAGGATCATAAGCACATGACATTATCAGCTTGGAAAAAATAAAGTCCTGGATTTATTTATAATGAAGGTTGCAACCGACAGTCACCTTATTTACAGAAGGCCATACTATTATTATTCATCTGTTGCACTTACCTATGCGCCCTATCTTAGTGTTAAAAGATCTCTGTATTATGAAAAATTTTTTAGCCATATTATTAGCATGACTTTATGTTCATTACTTATCCAGGGTGTATGACCTTTTATCATTTAGCGACACTGTGTCACTGTCACAAAAAATAAATAATGCAGAGGCCCCTTGGACGCATGCAAATAAAATCTATTATTTATGCAAATCATACAGTTAATACCATAGTATTTCAGTGCCTCTGCGGTGTAACACCCAGTATCCAGTTTTGTTGGTCAAATCGCGAGTGGCTGATCATCGACATACACGACAACGGAACCCAATCTTGGATCAATAAAAACAGTACCCTCAGCTGGTCCTCAATAGAGACTTAAATTCACGTTGTACATCCTGAGGTAGGGTGTGGTGAGCCCCTGGCTTGCGAGTATGTCGCCAATTCGTTCTATATGGTGCGCTAACGTTGGTGAGCCTCCAACAGATGCGCCAACAATAAGTGAAGTTGAGCCTCTAGGGAATATATCTGGGTTTTGATGATAGAGTGATATCAATTCGTTCATCAAACGATCCAAGCTTTGCATCCCGATTCGCGTATCCATGGTGGGATAAGGCATCGGAGGAATGTGTGCCAGGATTGCCCATATGGGGAGAAAACTGCAACAGCTGTGCAGCCATTGAGATTCTGCGTTCCGATCGCTCGTATCGGACCTCCAAAAGATATGAAAAGGACTTGGTTCATGGGCACTTCCCAAGTCTGCCGATTAGCCAGAGCATTATGAAAGTGGGAAGACATATTGGGTTAGAGCGTGATATGGGGAGAATGAACAAGTTGATAACTGTAGTTCAGGAAAAGCATATACATGGGATGCATCCTCTTTTATATTAAAGGGTGTGTTAGAACACTGTTGCAGGTAGGTTAGTTCTTTACCTTCTAAAGCCTGATCTGGCACGTGTATAGGCGGCTGTGTAGGTGGAAAGCATTATCACACAGTCACACTTTATAATAGTAAGTTGTTGTATGTGTCCCAGGAACTCGCCTTGCCGCTTGCAAACTAATCCTTCACTACTGGCCTGATTACTCTTCTATCTCCTCATCTCTCCCTAAGCACCAAATCATTAGCTAACCCTATTAGTGAACGCAGATAATTAGACACCTCTGTTGGTTATAGTTGTGCACTTACCTATCCATCACCCACACTCACTTGAGCCAGAATTAAGCATTATCTATGCCGCGCGTATCCTGGAAATTGCCCAGTCAATCCCTGCCAGCATTCTTCCGAAGGACTTGAAGCTGCAATCCACCAAGCGCTCAGCTCCTGCAAGGACCAAGTCCCATTCCGGGAGCAGCGTCAACAGCTGGCTGACAGGCTTGTGCCGCCTCTGGGGCTGGCGCTACAGCGAGAAGATGGATGAACCCTCCGTGCTGGACGTCCTTGCACCAGGGGCTCTTCCAGGGGAAAAGAGGAACGCGACTAATCACAACGCTAGCATGGGCCTTGATTCGTACATGGGTTGACAACATACGGACAGGTCAACTTAAACGCTGAGAAGCAGTGGAGTGATTGGGGATCGCATGGGGATGTGTCCTTGGCTGCACTCTGGCGTCAAAAACTCCCTTGTCATTTGCAGCCAATCGAGACAGATCGCGTCAGAACACAAACAATGTCACCTTACATTGGTCAAAATGTATCCCAGGGGTTGATATTCACCCTGGATTGCATACCTAGGCGGCTAGAACTAACCAATGGAAGGTGCGCCTAGGTAAAAGTACTGGCTTGCCGCTCAGAGCAAAAAAGAATTTAACTATAATGCAGGAAAACGCAAAAAGGAAGAACTTGTGGGTTGTTTGTCTGAAGTATCTCCATCCATCTTTTCAGTCAAATGAGCTTAAGAAGCATATTTGAGGCCAGAAAGATGAGGACTATCAAGGACTTACGCTGGGGGGGAAGATCCTCTAGCATTTCGTGAAAGCTATAAAAGAGCTATTGGAAAGGAAATTAGCCCTAGCCTTCTGAGACTAGGTGAGGACGTCCTTCGGGTTGTGATCAATGGAAACTGTCAGACACACGACGTATGCATCCCTTTAGCTTCATATGATTTAAAGAACAGTTCAGAATCCCTCGGCTATGACTGTGAGCCTTGTCTATATTTCTTCTCTATGCAGAAATGGTTTATGTGCGCGATGAGTGCATTAAGATCCCTTTATAATCTCTCATCTTCCCGCATCTGATACGGCATGAGAGATACAGAGTACAAGCTTTCATTGTTGACGGAGTAATTGCTTGTGAAATGTGGGGGCTCACTTCGACATCCTCGACGACACAAAATCCACCAAATCAAAGAAACTCTTCTTGTAATACCGCTCCTGTGTCGTCCGATTAACCACTTGCAGCCCAAACTGCTGATTGTAATCCCCAAACTCCCAGTTGTCCGCCCAGGACCACGCCAACGCCCCCATCACATGCACCCCGTCTTCATGGATTGCCTTGAGAATCTCGGACATGAAAGAAAGGTAGTAGATGCTCCGCGGGGTATCAAACAGCTGATCTGAAAGGTCCGTCTTCTCGGCTTCTCCGAAAACGGGGAACCCAAACTCCGACACGAAGACCGGGCTACGGAAGGTATTCCAGAGGTAGTTGAGGTACTCCCGTAGATAGGTAGGCGTGATGTAGACATAGCTCTGGGAGCGATAGCCGATGTTCCATCCGTATCTGTTCTTGGTTTCCTGCACCACGCAGTACGGGAATAGCTCGCTGGAGGCGTTGGCGGCGCAGGCTGCAATACCTTCTGGGGCCGGGGAGACGACCGTTGCAGTGTATGGGTCGATACCGAAGAAATCGGACGTATTGGCGATATAGGACAGGTCCTGATTGCAGAGGGGTTTGGCACCGGGAAGGGTGTCCAGGATTGAATCCGGGTACTGCTGGCCGAGGAAGATTGGGTTCGCGAAGAGTCCCAGCTGCATCTCTTGGAAGCGGTTTGCGGCTTGAATATCGCTGGCATTATGGGGGTCGCGGGGCACGCCAAAGTTGTCGTTGAACTTGATCCCCATCTTACCGGTTGCGTTTAGTACATCGTGGTAGAAGTGGTACACCTGCGCGTGTGCACGCACGACGTTATCGGCGCCTTGGAAATCGAACGCGTAAAGAAGGGGCTCGTTGAATGTAACCCAGATCGGGACTGTCAAAGTGAAGGAGTGTTACGATGGGCAGCATACCAGCGTCGAGAACAGTATTGATCAGATTATCATAATGTTTGATGCCCTGCTCGTTTACCGGGGACCCTGGTAGAACAAAGGGTAGGATGCGGGTCCACGGAATGGAGAAGCTGTAGTACCTGACTCCCATCGCCGCCAGACGTTGTATATCCTGCTTGTACAAGTAGTAGTTCTCGTTCGTGACATAGTCCTTTGGCTGACTCGTGTTGGCCAGTTTCTCCAAGATAGTCGGACTGCGGCCCTCCAAGCCCACTGCACCCTCGACCTGCGCAGCACTTCCTGCGACGCCGAAGACGAAGTCATCCGGAAAGTTATAGCAGTCCGTCGGGCCAAAGTAGTCAGCGGGCGGCAACACCAATGCACTGGTCGGCACCGGTGTGGGACTGACAGTCGTCGAGTACATGCCGGTCGTCGTATAGTTCTCGATCCCGACCTGCTGCCACAGCAACGACCAGGCTAAGGGTCTGCAGTATCAGTGGCCGTGATGACAGTCTGATCAGGCAGCCAATTGCCCCATGTTGTCGTCGCTGGAACGGCGGTGAGATGTTTCACAGCATGAGCATAATGCGGCCCATACGTATGGGTGGCTGTTGGCCGCGGTATAGAAGTAGCATGGCTGTAATCATTAGCATGCCACTCTTCTGCATTCACTATTGACCGTCTATCTACTCACCGAACTGTCTCATTCAGAGTATAGGAGAACGGCTGAAAGTAGTACACTGGGGAGGGAACCGGCTGCGTGCATTGAGGGCGATCAGGATAGCCTGTCGTCGTTATGTACAGCTGCTGTGCCTCAGCAGCGCCCAGGAGTATAACAACCCATGAAACTATACTGATCATTTTGTTCGATGTGGTAGAACTCAAGTCAGGGCCTGGTTAGAAGACAGGGGCACTCCCCTCTTATACCGTTGTCATAGCACCAGGCCAAAGTCCAGTAGCATTTCAGTCCGAATCCCGCTTGGACGCGGATCAACTCGAAATTGATCGCATTCTGGCAATGATCAACAGTTAGCACTGACTCTATGGTCAAGCACGAGGTTGCTAGTAGGACACCCCGCAACTCCAGGTTTCCCCAACCCCACATATCCGAAGTTCTCCCGAGATGCTCCCTCATAGTCATGGCTAGCAAATATCCGGTCAATCAGGGATCTTCATCCACCCCAACATTGACCCTTTTGCGGGGCCCCACAAGGGGAAGCAGCCGGAAAATATATTCCATCAGACAGCACACGGAAATCCCGGTCCCATCATACTCCTACGTGTTCTCCACATGCAAATATGACCTCAGTTTCTTGTATTCAGGGCCTACACTTGACGCATACTACTACTAGTACTGATCCATACGTCTAGCGGTGGAGAGCCGAATGGGGCACAAACAGCGGCATCGAATCCTCCCACATCGAGTCCGTAAGCATGCGCTTATTCTTTCCATCCGCATCCATGATCACAATCTGGCCGTAGGGCTGGAACGTATTGTCGTACAAGGCACACTCGTACCGGAACCCATACATGCCCGTAGAGTACAGGATCCTTCCATCATGCGACCACACCGCATGCGCATCGTTGGCGCCGCTGCTGGTCAGCACGCGCAGATCGCTTCCATCGGGCCGGATCGTGCAGACATCGTAGTTGGTTGCGTTCGTCTTGCGGGTGAAGACCCTGTGTTCGCCGTCCGGTGAGAAGAAGGGGAGGTTGTCCCATCCTGTGGTGAGGACGGTGACCTTGCGAGTTTCGAGGTCCAGGATGCGCAGGCCAAGCTGGGACTTGTCGCCTTGGGTGGACTTTGCGCCCCAAACACGGTAGACGACCTTCTTGCCGTCGTGGGAGAAACTGGGGAAGCCAGAGTTGATTGCCGTCGAGTTGCTGGTGGTTAGCAGTTCTGCGTAGGAGCCGTTCGCACTGGCGCGTGCCAGCCATCCGCCGTACTGTGCGCGATCCTGGAACCAGGAGCCCACGCCGAAGACGAGCCATTGGCCGTCCGTCGACCAGGAGGGTTGGAAGGCACCTGCTAATCCTTGGCCGACGAGCGTTTCGTCGACGAGATCTGTGTTCAAGACGTCAATAGACAAGCAATAGAGTGCCAAGCCGTCCTCACCATCCATCTCCGAGGCTTGAAGGACCTTTGGCTTCCAGAACCTTCGGCTTCCGAGCTGAGGCGTGCAGAATAGACAGTTGGGCAGCGGGAGGAGTATATAGTAGCGCAAACGTGTGGATATCTCTGAAGATAAGTGGCTGCTAACGGCCAGCTTGATTTCAGCAGAAGCAAGCCGCTAGCTACTTTCCAAGAACAGCCAGCGAGATGTGACCAAGAACGCAGGGAGTAGGATCCCTCGGTCATAGAATGTATGCTTATGGGCAGTTTTTGCCGAGCGCTACAAGGGTGTGACTGGTTCATGCATCCTCTTCTAAGCGAGTCTTCGCTTACAGGAAATCGTTTTAAGCCACCCTAAACCGGGTATTCAACCCGCCTTATTCTGCTCTCGAAAGACTAATGGCTGCTGAAACAAGGTGCCCAAAAGCCCGATAGCCGAATTGAATCAGTACGGCCGCATGAACAATCTTAACTCCTTGGTTGCAACATTGTGATTCTAGACCGTAACATAATATACAGAAGCACTTTGCAGCTCACTGGAGATAGACACCAATGCTCTCATTCCGTTCACATGCAAGCCAATAGAACTGATTGTATTCTCAATTTAGCGTCCTCAAGGTTTCAGACACGCCCCGTGGTCGATCGATTCCGAGAGCCGTGCGATCGAGTCCGAGAACCTTTATGTCGTGTCGATGATCCTAGATGTGATGCGGCTATATTGCCCCTGTCTGAGCCCTCTTCTTCCTGCTGCTTCGAATGGATGGCGTTCTCGTAGTCGTCAATTGGCTCGTCATCGCGGGTCACGCCGTGCACCTTTTTGGGTTGAAGGGGAGGGTCGGCGATTGGTTTCGAAGGCATTGTGTCAAACAGGAGTGTTAATAATGAGTATAGTTTATCGCGTGATGTTTCAGTGCAGTAAGGACTGGCTCTCAGATGCAAGTAGAGCGTTCGCTTTATATATTGTTCTTATATGCTAGTTGGTGGAATGATCCTAGCATGACGTGCTGTTTGTCAATATTCAGGGAAACAGTCTGGTATATCGAATCATAAGCTTATATCCCTTGTGGCAAGCCAAGCGGTTTGCGGATTGCCAATCAACAACGCCATATATCAAGTCACGGTGACATGGTACTGCAGATGGCACATCCCCGTCATACTTATGTCAATAAAAGGGTTATATTCAATCTCGGCAATTGTTGGAGCTTGCCTATAGACGTCGAACGACTTGGCAAAGTCTATAACCTCTAGCAGACCAAAGAGTATAGGGATTCTAGAATACAGCACAAAGAACAGGAATTTTAAGCCCTAACTCAACCACTGGCCAACTTCCTCAACTGCGTCATGGGCCCATTGAACTTATCCGAATCCCCTCCGTGCTCATACTTGTCTGAATTCTGCCAGATCGTCCATGTCTTCCAGTCACCCGGGATCGTCTTCGGAGGGGAGCTGGTATACACCGCCAACACAAGGGGACACTTATCGCCGAAGCCCTTGGCGTTGCCCGTGCAGCGAGTCCACCAGTCTGCGGTGGTGTAGATCATAGGCCAGCGACCCGTCGCATCATGGTACTCGTCGACAAAGTCGTGGATCCAAGCGACCATCTCGGAATGGCCGAGGCCGTAGCATGTCGCTCCGTAGGGGTTGTACTCGATGTCCAGCATCCCGGGCAGCGTCCGGTTATCGTTGCTCCACCCGCCGCCGTTCTTCAGGAAGAATTCGGCCTGCGTGCTGCCGGTGGACTTGTCAGGGCGCGCAAAGTGGTATCCGCCGCGGAGCAGGCCGGCCTTGGTGGCGCCTGTGTAGTGGGAGTTGAAGACGGTGTCTTTGTAGGTCGTGCCTTCAGTGGCCTGTAGTTCGTGTTGGTTGAGTGAGCTTGATGATCGGGACAAGACGAACCTTGATCATCACAAACTGCGCACCATCCTTCTTTGCAGCGTCAAAGTTGACGGTCTTTTGGTGGTTGGAGATGTCGAAGCCTTGGACGGTGGTTGCGCGGGCTTCAGGCTGGCTGGCGAGGGCCGAAGCCAAACTGGCAATGGCGGCAACAGCTGCGATGGAGAACTTCATGATGCAGGGGGGGCCCTTGTGCTTTCGATGTCTGGATGTGGTTTTTTTGACTCGGTTAAAGAGTTGCTGGTATATATATGCGGTCTGCTGAGATCCAGCCGACACTATAATGGATTTTGATTGCGATAAGCGCATCTGAAACTAGACACGGACATTGATACGAACTGTCGAATCGACCGTCGGGGAGTACCTTTCATCTTCCAGAGTGCTCGATCATATGAAAAGATTCAGACAACTCGTGCGAGGATATACGAGGGAAGTCGTGATATCCCGCCTGTGGGGCGTGTATACGAGAGGATCATCACTCTCTGACCTCGCTCAAAGGCGCTATTTGGCTAGACGGGTATCATTCTGCGAGGCCGCCGATCAGTCTAGAAGGATTGGAGAGGCTGCATAGTAGTGAACCAGCGATATTAATACCTCTGTGAATGGAAGAGAGCAACAGACTGATCATCAAAGGTCCCTGACGAACCCATATTCGCACCATTTTTTCCAAATGCGAAGATCTTTTGTTCATGAAGGAGTACTAAAAATAGTTTTATACTGAGAATGCTGCATCTGAACGAGACTTATGTCTAGCCAACGGTTGAGGATCGAAACATACGTCCTCCATATTGCAGCATTGCTAAAATATGTAGTACCTCGTATATACTACTTATTCCCTGCTGTCGACTATTCTTTGGAATGCATTCTTCCTTGACTGCATCTAAATGACCGATGGCATGGTTAAAGAGTAAATCCCGTTCTTACTCAGGGTATCGTTAGGGAGATGAAGGAATTCAATATCTCCCTTTCAAAGCAGGAGACTACAGATAGACCAATAATGCCTCCGACGCCCCAAGGGTAAACGTCGCCTTCCCCGAGCTGACGGTAGTAGTCTCCATCACAGCTGTCCCCTGTATCGCACACGTTCCGTTGGCAAATGTCTGCCCCCCGACAGTGGGATTCTGTCCCCGATCCACACGAGATGTGGCATACGGGGCTGTCAGTCGCTTAGCCGTTACACGAGAGGAGGGCAAGCCGGTCAAGGTGTATGTCTGTGCCGACCGAGTGCCGCTCGTGTAATAGTCGGAATTGTAGAGGAGGACACGGACGGGAGCTCCATCCTTGTATATAGCGTAGGCGGCGTACGCGGTTGTCTGATCATCGAGAGGAGCGATTTGATCTGCGTTGGCCAGCGCCATGGTTGCAAAGTAGGCGCCGTAGTAGGGGGATCCCATGTCGTAGCGTCCCCACCAGCAGTATTGGCAGTTGCCGATCGTACCTTGATGGAAATAAAGGGCCTGCGAGTGTGTTAGGCTGGCAATACGCATGTCATAGGATGCTCACCTCGGTGCCCATGAGAATTGTCTGCATCACATAGTCCAGGATCCAAAGCGCGGCGCCAAAGGTCGGGCTGATGCCACCGCCTCCTTGCGTAGCTGGACAGGGTCAGTCGTGAAAACACAAATGCGAAAGGTGCGTACCGGAGTTCGTCTCGCCAAAAATGTGTGGTTTTCCTTTCGCAGCTGCGGCGGAAACTTCAGCTGCGAAGGGCTTGATCTGCGAGGTAATGGCGCTGTGGCTCATGAGGCTGGCCAGGTTGGCAGTGCTGGCTGACTGCGGGTAGTTGTGCGAGCAGTAATCTTTGACGTAAGTGTTGGCTTCTCCCTCGGCGGCTGCCAGACCAGCGATACTCATGGGAGAAGTGCCAAAGAAGACGCCAGCAGATATGATGTTAGAGACCGACAAATTGCCACACACTGCATCCTGCCAGCTCACCTCCGACGAATAGTCAGCCGCGGCCGTCCAGGACTGCGAGTTGGCAATGGGGTCACTGCTTGAGAAGACTGATACTTGTCAGTCGTCGGACGAGAGTCATTCAAACTGAGGATTGCCCACAATTAGGTTCATTGCCTAGCTCAATAGCATTCAGGTTATTCATTTTGTTCTTCGCCAGAGTCGCCGCAGCAATAGTGTTTGAGAGATTGTCTAGTCGCCGATTCAGACCAAGAATCACGTCACCTCCGTAGCTGGCAGCCAGAGAGACGAAAGATGGTCCAAACGTGAGACTTGTCGGGGCATCACCGGAAGAAGCGACGGTGTAGGTGACTGCATTGGTTGAAGAAGCATCGTACGTTGCTCGATCTCTACTCATGTGAGCATAGACACTGTATTCCGAAAGACTTCGAAACATACTGAGTGGTCCCGCCAATTCGCAACGGAGGCCATGCACCAGTGAGATCCTTGAAGTTTTGCAGACAGGTAGGCGTCGCGGCGACATCGTTCATGTAACCCGGAAATGTAAAAAACTCGAGACTAAACTGTCAGAGGTGCTACCGATGCTGGTGAATGAGGCTTACGAGACACCGACGGGTGCAGCCGAGAGCTGTCCACTCGCATTGGATGGAGGTGTAGAAGGGACTGCAAAGGTCAATGCTGCTACTACAGGAATGCAGCTGCACAGCAGAAGGGGTGCAAGAAGGAGAGCCATGTTTACGGCCTTCACTAATCAAGACTCATTGTTTGTCCGTTCTGGACCGTATGACTTATATGTACACGCAGTATCCTCTTCTTGAGGAAGATCATTTCTACATCGAGATGATCATGATGAAACCCCACGGGGAATTTCCCCGGTCGAGCAGTATCCCATTCAGCCCCTCTGATCTGCATCCTGAATGGCGGGAATTGACAATGCCTTGAAGGGTGTTCACGGCTATTCAGTTCCTGGGGGACTATTTTCTCTTGCATATGTCTCTGGCAAGGGAATATCCCATCCAACAGATAACCTTTCTGCATAAGTTTGTCATTTTCTTGATTAGTCCAAGCTTCCTGGCAATGCAGCGCGAACTCTCAATGTCGGTAGACATTATACCGAGCTCTGAATCCTTAGATTCTGGGTGGCCCTCCTGGACGAAGCAACAGGAATAAAAACTGCTCTCATTGGCAGACCTGAATCATGTGGAAGTTGTTTGAAGGCAATAATCCCATTAGCGTCAGCACTAGAGGCCACACTGGTGGAGAATCTCTCCCCGTTCATGAGGAGACGGGTTCCTTCCAGCTACAAGCAATCAGTGGCTGAAACAAGAGATCCCAATTTTCCCAGTCCATCGAGTCCCCGCGGGGTTATCTCCTCTGATCCTGGGGTCCCCGCATGGACTGGACTTCGGGGGACTCGGGCGGCCAAGCCATAAACTCAGACAGCTTGGATGATGCTTAAAGACTCCATCAGTCCCAGCAGGGCTCAAGGATCTACACCGGGATCACTGCTGGACTGTCTTTCGTTTCAAGATGACGACCATCAAGAGTTTTGATAAGAACTCGCGGCAGACCGGCTCGGCTGAGGTCGCCAAACCGCACGTCGAGAATGTCGAGCATTCTTATCCTGCCGAGATGGACCCTGCGACTGGCAAGGAAGCTGCCCCCTTGATGCGCTCCAAGGAGGACGACCTCACAGTTTGGCAGTCGGTGCGACGATACCGGATGGTCGCCGTGATTGCTATGGCTGCAGCATTCAGCGCTTCGCTGGATGGTTATCGTAAGTTTCCATCTATGGTACAAAAGCTATGAGATTAATTTTAATCGGCAGAAATCAACCTCAATGGAGGCATCGTTTCCAATAAAGGCTTCATCCGACAAATGGCCACGTCCGGTACGACCATCATCGCGGGCAAATACATCTCGGCCTGGGGTGGAATCCAATCGACTGGCCAGACAATCGGTCAGATTGTATGTTCCCATCGTTTGTGAAGAGTGAAGGTATACTAAGCAGCACAGCTCCTCCAATATGCGACCGAGGCGTTTGGGCGAAAGCCAGCTCTGTATATCATCTGGCTCACATTCGTGGTGGTGAGCGAATACTGGCGTTCTGCGATTGAAGTCTCTCTGACAGTCAAACAGAGCGTTCTGATAGAATCATTCGCCAGTAAATGGGACCACTGGCTTGTCGCAAAGCTGTTCTCGGGCATGGGTGTCGGTATGCTCCAATGCACGATGCCACTGTATCTGTCTGAGATTGCTCCGACGCAACTCAGAGGATTCTTCATCAACGCGTACAGCTTGTCCGTAATTCCCGCTTGACTACTTTGAGTTCATGAATAGGATACTGACTCCAATAGCTGGTTCGTGGTCGGCCAATTGTTCGCCTCGGTGGCTTTGAATAGGCTGAGCGCCACGGATCCATATGATTTTCGAACCCCCATCTACACTCAAGTCAGTTTCCATGAAGCGTCGCTACTTACTCAAAACTGAGACTAATTGGTAGTAGTGGGCTATGATAGGCGCCGCAGGGGTCATTTTCGTCCTGGTCCCCGAGACCCCCTGGTGGCTCGTCAGCAAAGGCAAGATGCAGAAAGCAGAGAGGGTCCTAAAGACATGCAACGGTAGTGTGCCAGGCTATGATATCCAGGACCAACTTGTCCGTACTGTTCTCATTCCCAGCGATTCGTCGGACTAACGCTGTATAGAACGTGATGACTTCGACCGTGGCTCACGAGCGAATCGTCGCCGAACGCAACAAGGAGCAAGGCATGTGGGCCGTTTTCAAAGGGCGAAACTTGATCCGGTTTATCATTGCCGGATGGCCAAAGATCACGCAGCAGTTTGTCGGGTTGACCGTGTTCAATACCTATGCTACCTACTTCTGTAAGGATGTTCCCTATGCTCGTGCTTCGCAAGCTGATCTTTCAGTCCAATACGCTGGGAACAAGAATCCGTTCCTGGTGACCGTCATCCTTTCCTGTGTCCAGCTTCTTTCCATGCTCGCCACAGCCGCCTTGACCGATCAAGTCGGTCGTCGTCCGTTGACGGTTTATCCCTATGGCGTAACTGTTCTCTCGGTGCTGTGTCTGGGCATCGTTGGCTGCTTCGACTACAAGACGCCAGCACTCAGTTCTCTGTTGGTTCGCTTGAAACGCCCTCTCTCACTTCATATGTTATTCCAGAAATCTGATGAGATAAAGATCTTCTTTGCCTGTCTAGCCACCTTCTCCACGACTGGTGCGTCTGCCATCGGATACGCCTACGCAGCGGAGATCCCTCAGCAACGGCTCCGCGCCCAGACAGCCGCCTGGTCTCTGGCTTCGTCGAATATGATTAGCATCATGTTTAGCTTCTGTACCCCTTTGATGATCAATCAGCCACCGACCAAGTGGGGCCCAAAGACAGGCTTTTTGTGCGTATTCCTGGTTGCTCCAGCGGACAAGGACTGATCCTCGTGCGAATAGCTTTGCTGGTACTGGTACCGTAGCCGTGGTAATTGCCTGGTTTATCCTTCCCGAGGTAACGCGTCGTACACCGGGTGAAATCGATGAATTGTGAGTTTCGCCTATCGGGGGTCTTCCATTACATTCGTTGAATATCATCTGACTGCTGCATTCCAGATTTGAGAAGAGGGTCAACCTGCGCAAGTTCAAGAACTATGTCACTCATGCACGAATTACTGCGGATGAGCACCACAGGCAAATGGAGTTGGCCTGATGAGCCTTGGGGACAAGTTTCCCTCAAATGGGTCGTGATTTGCAGGGGTATCAGTCCGTGGCCCAATTTACCGAACTAGAATGAGGATCCCAATTCTTCGTGTTATACTTTAATGCAAATCGAATCTGCACCGACCCCAATAAGGGGCGAACCCATAATTTTCTATGACGTTGGTCGGGCTCTGGACTATGAGGGATGCCGAACCCTCCTAGCAACCCGGCGCAAACCTGCATGGCATTGGCCCCAGTCCCAGCCACTGCAACAGTCTTTCTATCAAACGCTCTAGCAGAAGATCCTCCTGGCTCCCGCTAGTGCACATATCATCCCACCGGGGCGTGGAAGACAGGGTTCGTCCTTTCGAAGACCTAGAATCACAGAACCGGGGGAATTCGATGGACAAGGAAAGGTCCCAATCGTGCTCGTACGGCCTTTGCCCTGGGCTCATATTTGGCCCTTGATGTATCACCTGTTGTACAACCCATCTTGCTGCCTCCTCATTCAATTCGATTTGATCAGGTTTGGTCGAAAACATAGATTTCCCGACTGCCTTAGCTTCTACCCATCCAACTGCTGAAGAACCTCAGTGACATAGGAGTACTTATACCAAGGCATATAGCCCGTCTCTCAAGTATCGGCAGGTAAATGTAGGACTACACTATCCGCAACATCAATGAGCCGATACTGTGCCCAAGATATTCCTCCATTAATCCCAGCAGTGGGAATCGTCTCCAACCTTGGACATTGCTCGGTTAGGCCAAACAGATTCTTTTCAGTGGAAGTAAACGGCAAGGGTTGTATTTGATCAAAATGAAATACCGACCTCCGATATCACCGAGCACAACCCCGAGGTTCCGGATAAAATCACAATGATTGTCATGACACGGGTGGCGCAATCGATCGTCCCTAGGCAGCTGCAATAATGGTGTATCTTACCTGCCCAGGGTGTCCTGTGCATTCGAAGATGGTCGGAAGGCGTAGATTGTCTAAGGCAATTGGCCCGGACTTTGCTCGCCGCTACTGTTTCACGACGGGGCAGGGTCACCGAGAAGATCGCGAACCCTGAGTCGGCCTTTTCGGAGATGCTGTCAGGAGGATGATGGACGACAAGAGCTGCCACAAGGTTCCATCCACTCATGCCAGCTGATTGCTATAAAAGGGGGTCTTGAGACATCCTCAAGACAGTTGAATTCAACTTCTCAACGCATCATCCTCGCTCACCATCTTGTTCCCTGTCTACTATTTCCATCTTCGAGAAAGGCAACCATCCGGGAAAATGACCGCTGAAAAGCTCCGAGTCATCATCGTCGGCTCTGGTCTGGCTGGTTTGGCTGCGGCCCGGATCCTTCGTGCGCATCACGATGTCACCGTCTACGAGCGCGGCGGTCCGGATACGGCCACCGGTGGACAAGGTATCTGTCTGTTCTCCAACGGCATCAAGATCCTTCAAACAATGGGATTTGATCGTTCCCTTGCTGGTGGAGTGCCATGTTACGGTTACCGGCTGTTTGACAAAAATGGTAACCAATTGAAGGACTTCCCAATTGACTTCAAGGGGCGGTACGGAGCAGATACCCTGAGTATGAAGCGGTCTGATTTCCGTGACGAGCTTCTACGACTTGCAACTGCCCCATCGGAAGAGCTCGGTATCCAAGGCAGTCCGGCGCAGATGGTGTTCAATACTAGTGTCATTGACATCGACCCTGACAAGGCTACTGTGACGCTGGAAGGCGGGGCGGTTGTGGAAGCAGATGTGGTCATTGGTTAGTGTCTCCAGCAATGATCCCGGACTATGGGCCAGGGGGTGGAAGAGTCTGACTTTGAAGCATATATAGTTGCTGATGGCGTGCATTCACGTCTGCGTCGCCGCATTGTTGGTACTGACAGCTACCAAGCGAAGAAGAATGGGATGACTTGCTACCGGATTGCTGTCTCCGCTGAGGCAGTTAAAGAGGCACTTGGCTATCTCCCAGTGTGGTGGGAGCCGAGTACAGCCGACGGTCGCATCTCTGCGCTTCAGGCAGGCGACGGGAGTAACCGCATGGTTGCTGCATACGCTATACGGAATTATGACTATATGAACTTCTCGTGCCTCTTTCCGACCCGCCAGGGCAAAGGAAATGTCCTGGAATCGTGGTACGCGGACGGTGACCGACGGGAAATGATTGAGATGTTCAGCGATTTCTGTGGCCCTCTACGCACGATTCTAAGGTATGTACCTTGTTTCTTTATGTGGGCTTCTATCTGAAGCTAACGGTTCAGTATCGCCACTGAGGTGAAAATGTGGGAGCTCCAAGATATGGACCCCCTTCCCAACTGGAATCGAGGACGCGCAATCGTGATCGGGGATGCCGCCCATGCGATGACCCCATTGCAGGGTCAAGGGGCGAACATGGCAGTCGAGGATGCTGACAGTCTCCGCCTGTTGCGTCCAGGCCTTTCCCATGCGGAAATCGAGTCGGTCCTTAAGCAAGTAGACAATGTTCGCCGGCCGCGTGCTTCAAGAGTCCTGGAGGACACTCGTGTCATGGCAAAGGATATTACCATGGAGGAAAGACTGGCCAATTTGGACTATAACTGTGGTTACAATGGGGTATTCGAGGCTCTAAAGGAGATGCAATGAGCTCCACGCAGTGCATAACGGATCTGGAGACCGGTGGTGCTGCACCCGCTCTCCAACCGTGGTGTTACATTAGCCGCTACCTCTTCTCTCTTGAATGGCATTCGCTTAGAATTAGAGATATAATTCAGCTGGAGCTTGGTAGAACAACACAAAGGCAATGCAAGCGAGATGACCCAAGAAACTCGCGCGTCAACATACCTGTTGTAGATTCTAGGCAATCATAAAGGAGTCAAATATGTACGCGGTCAACAATATACCAGGGACATGTCTATCGGGAATTTCAGACCAATAGACAGATATGCGAGAACGCGGACAAACTGGTAGGACATAGTTTCACCCCTTCCTGGTTTGATGGCCAAACTTGATTGAATGTGTAGCCGGATGGTGCTGGGCAAAGTCTAATAAGTATACGTAGCCGTCAAGTCGAATATCGGACGGTATGTAACGGATATAAGAGTGGCCTTGAGAGAGGAAGAGAGCATGCAATTTGCCGTAGCCCAATGAAGAATACAAGAAGCTGTCTATAGTCTTGACGCAACTATATAGAGGTGGAATTGGGCGTTGATAATCTACAGGTACTACGAATGTTTTTCATGCTTTCCCCATAACATTCCTTGTCATTGTTGCATAACCGAAGGGCTTCTCAGTCGAACGCGTGTATGAAACATCACTGACAGTCGGTTCGATTCACTTCTGTCCTGACTGTAAGAATGCTCCGTGAAGGCCGCTAGTGCTGCAGGATCTCTAGGACTGGGCTGATCCAAAGGGACATTTCCAGGGACCTCAAAGCATAATAGAGACATGAATGCAACTCTATGCAGGAGAGAGGTGTCCTGACCGATTCACTCTTCAGGATGCCTCTCAAAAGGAGTTCCAAGTCTAGGAGTAGACTTAGCTTCATCCGCAGAAGTCCCGCCCTAGATATACCAAACCCTGACCTTTCTGGGCTGAAGTGACCGTTTCTAAAGCCATATGTCAGTAGAGATGCTTCCTCGTCTGCTGCTGCTTCTCATGGACAACCGGAACCCCCAGACTTCCTCCGTGACATATCAACTGATGTCATATTAGAGAATCCTCTAGATTTCATAAGCGTCGATCTCCAATCCAGCGGCGTCAAAGGGAAATCGGGATGATGCCGCTAGAGTCGCGAAACCTCCCCAAAGCGAAATGACCGAGAATGATAAAGCCGAGGCCAATTAGCGGACTTAACTCATGTCGCTGCCGCAGCCAAGCCGCTGGAATACCCCTGATACACACGTCGAATCAAAGGAGCAAACGGCGATGCCGGTTTCGGAGATATCGGCCCTAGCTGCATCGATGTGGCGTCCGACCCTCTTCCGGAGATAACATTTAATTCTCCTTCGCCCATGGCTGACGGCGCAGAGTCAGCTTTTCACTTACTTCTTGTCCGAGGCCAACCTATCCCGACCTGACGAACGAGTGTTCGTCCTTGTCCGGTAACCTACACGAATGGTTAAGCCGACTGAACCCACAAGGAGACGCCGACGCCCAGCGTTGTCCTGCGTACAGTGTCGGCGACGGAAGGTCAAATGCGACCGAAACAGCCCCTGTGGGCAATGCACAGCCCACAAGTCCACTACCCTGTGTACATATGCGGTGGACCGCGCCACAGGCTCAGAGAGACAGGTATCGCAACGGCCCCAAGGACCAGTGCTGCTCGAAGCGGCCGACCAAGGCGCGAGCGCACCGCAGCAGCCTGTCTCCGATTCGACCGATTTATTAAATGGCGAAAGCACTGGACCAGTGACCTACAGCCAGTCAGAGGGACCTGCGTTATGTATCGCACATGATTTGGACAGAACCCATAGTATCCCGCAAAATCTTAGCGTCAATTCTTCCACATCCCAAGCCCCTTCGGGCTCGATTCACGGCATCTTATCCAAGACACGGGTCTTTGGTCACGGCCATTGGATGTGCTCGGTACCTCTGGTACGTTGCCAACTGCGTGAAGAGTAGTGGCTCCTGATCAATATTGACACAACCAAAGGTGGAAGGCCTACCGGCTTTGATCCAAGACATGCCTTCTCGGCAAGCCGGCGAACAGATCTCAGAGGCGATTGCTAAATGCAAACAACTGGCTCGAGATATTAAGAAGCAAATGCCGAGTCGGAGTCCACTTCCTCCCAGTATCCATAAACTTCTCCCCAGCCGCCCGGTGCTCGACGAGCTAGTGCAACTGTATTTCAGCACTTTCGAATCATGTTACCGGATTCTTCACACTCAGTTGTTCAGAGCAGAGTATGAAACCTATACAAGAGACCCGGAAATGGCAACGACGCCTTTCAAGGTGAAACTTCTACTGGTCTTGGCTACTGCAGCGCCGTTGCACGGCGATGCCAAAGCCTACAATGAGCTGGCTGCCAAAGCCAGAGCATGGATCCATATCGCTCAGGGATGGCTCTCCGCGCCTTTTGAAAAGGATCGCTTGACGCTAGATGGTATTCAGATCCACTGTTTGCTTCTACTTGCTCGTCAGGTAAACCGAGTTGGAGCAGATTTGGCCTGGATTTCAGCCGGTTCATTAATACGCATGGCCATGCAGATGGGCTTGCATCAAGATCCCAGCTACCTAGGAGAGATGAGTGTGCTGCATAGGGAATTACGAAGACGATTGTGGTATACAGTCTTGGAGCTGAATGTACAGGCTGCGTTGGATTCGGGGATGGCTCCCATGATTACTGCTGCAGAGTATACTACCCAGCCACCGTCCAACCTAGACGATGATGAATTGATCGAGGCGTATGGAGAAGGCCCTCCGGCCAAAGCAACTTCAATACCTACCCAGACGTCAGTCCAGCGTCTGCTGGCCGATTCCCTTGCTTTAAGACTGGAAGCAACGATAGTCATCAACAACTTGCAGGACAAACCCTCATATGAGCAAGTTCTTCGTCTGGGGAATGAGCTGGCGTCAGTTTGCCGTAATGCCACAACCGTCGTTGATCATGACATGTCAAATGACTATGATACATCGACTAACGCAACATCGCCACGTCGGTTTAAATATAATTTCTGCGAGCATTATCTGTGTCGCTTCCTCCTAAGTCTCCACTACCCTTACGCAGCCAAGAGCAAACGCAATCCTTTATACAGCTACTCGCAGAAAGTGTGTCTCGAAGCTGCCCTTGACTTGGTTTCACTCCTCGAAGACAAGATATACCGTCGCTTGCTACTCTCCGGGGGTGGCATGTATCGAGATATTATTACTCGGGGTGCAGTGGTGATATTCCTGGAACTGGTTTCACAACTGGAAGCAAACAACTCTATCTTTTCAAAGCAACGAAACCGTGCTCGCAGAGAGCCGTTGCTAGAAGATGCGCGCAAGGTGGTCCAATACGCACACGATAGACTATGGTATGGCGAAACAAACGTGAGAGGCTACCTTTTTGTCAGTATGGCGATGGCCCAAGTGGAGGCGCTACTTGATGGTCTGCCAACCAAAGAAGCCGTGATAAACGCGGCCGGCCAGAGCCTGACAGTATGCCGCGACATTCTGGAATCCATGGCAGCCAGTTCCCTCTCGCCCAATGCCAGTCATCCGGATATTGCATCTTGGACGTACGGGGACATGTTGGCTATGCCCACTGTGGCCGATGCCGACTTTGACTTTTTGAATAACGAGAACCTCAATTTTGATCTTTCGGACCCTTACTTTGTTCAGCAATGGACAGATCAATGCTGGCCTCAGAATTTGTTTAATTCAGAAGAGGAACCGAGACAAGTGCCATCACACGACGGAGTGAATCTGGTTGGGACATCAGCGATACCTATTACGACTCGTGCCCAGAATGCGACAGATCAGTTATGATGCCATCCATCGAGAAGAAACTAGCGTTGGAGGTATATTTGGGAGGCATGCGATTGGATTCTTGAACATTTATCATTCCGGTGCATGTAATGGCAGTAGTTCAATTCTTAAGTCCTTGTCCACAGACATCCTTGGTATATAGTTACTAATTAACATTAAGGTAAAGAAAAAAGTACTATGTTTTATTTTGGGGTCTTATTATCTATTAGTAAATAAGCTTCTATTCAGATATTTAAGACCTGTGTCCACTGCTACAGTAACTACTATTTTATCTAGCCCTAGCCACTGGCCTATTTTAATTACTATAAGCATATTCAGGCTAGTTAATATCCTAACTAGCAATCCTTCTTCCTTAGCTAGATACTAACATACATTTTGCCTGTCATCCTCAGGGATTATAAGGGCTTTATTATAAAGCTAGTAGTTAAGAAGTAGTAGGATATATCTAATACTAATACCTTTAACATAATAGGTGCCAGGATGACCCTTAGTAATAGTAGGTAAAGATGCTAGCTTAAGAACAGTAATGTAGATTTTAGGCTACTTTACTTTAAGAATTCACATAGTCCTTATTACTATTCTAGTAGTACCCACCGCACCACAGAATGCATTGATTCTCTCAGGGAACTACTTGAGTAGCTCATGGCTAATGGTCTCATATCCAATCAGTGCATCCCGGTTTTTGAACTGGTTGGTAAAATAATAATTCTCGCCTTCCACGACGTCTTCTGCGCGGCGTATCATGGAGGGTATGAGATCTGCGGTGATTCTGCCGGAGGGACTCTGGACCAGGTCGATATTGGCACCGAAAGCCTCCATCGTTCGTAACTTCTCGGCAGCAAATGCATTCGACGACACCACATGGAATCGGTAGCCCTTGACGGCACAGACAAAGGCGAGTGAGGACCCCGTGCTCCCGCCAGTGGCTTCCACGACCGTCATCTCATGTGTCAGGTCTCCCCGAAGTTCGGCCTCTTCGACCATCGACTTCGCCATGCGGTCCTTGTATGAGCCGGTGGGGTTGACAGATTCGAGCTTCAGGAAGATTTGGGCGCAATGATCGGGCACGACATGGCGCAATTGTACTACCGGCGTGTTCCCGATCAACTCCAAGGAGCCATAGACCGGGCGTGGAGGCAGACGCATTGTGTATTAGGTACTCAGGACTGTGTTGGCGTGCGCCATTCAAACTGGCTTGATAACTGTATGAGACCGGAGATAGGGGATCATCTGGTCATTAAATAGTCCACGAGAAGATCAGCGGGGTTGAGCTTGGAGAACGCATGGGACGTCGTCCTGGTTCAGATGTCTGGTTCGGCCGATGAGATAGTAGAAGGGATCCGGCTTGTCCCAGAACTAAATACGGAAACAGGGCTAGAATAGCATGGGTTTCAGACTACCTTAGCCTCAGGCTATTCTCATAAGCTAGAGACTGCTAATCCAATTAAAGAGGCGCGTCGATACATGAAGAGTAAACCAAGCAGGAATACGAAGATCCGGCGGGACCGAAACGTAATGCATTGTATGCCAACCGCTGAGGATGTATACGTGGGATCACATTCATTTAAACCCGAAAGTCGGTGTTTTAGACCTAAGACTAGTTGCGAGGGTTATCCCCGTAGAGGCCTCCTCGAAGCCTTGAGAGTCTGGTATTTCCATAACCGGGAGAAGCTCAGAGAAGTTATGGTATAGATATTGGAACAGCCCTCTTGCCCGACTGGCAGCTTTGGTTTCAGAACTGCTTCTTTTGTGCAGCGTCAGAAGAGGAACTAGCCATGTCGCCCTCGCTGCCGCATAAAATTCCATGTCAATTTTCTCGTTTAGCTTCGAGGATTCCGACAAGGTCCCTGCCTGGACCAACTTGAATCCTTTAAAGTCACTGGTGCTAGCCTCCTTCCACAATGTATTCCCGCAGTCAGGGCAGAAGAACACCGAGAGTACCATTCCATACTCATGCTCGGTCGAGAAGCATTTGGGATTTCCTCTAAGGAGGGAAAAGCTTTCTTCATGCACAACGAAGTTGACTGTGTTGGTTCCGCCGGATATTTTGCGGCAGGGAGGGCAATGGCAGAGGGCCTAATGGATATTTACACGTTATATGGTGGTAACCCTTCAGAGAAAAGGTCTGGCTTACCCTGACAGTTGGCTCTCCGGTGTAGGAGTAGGTGCATGCGCCACACAAACAGCTTCCGGTGCTTATAGAAGTCATGGTAGGAAGTAACTTTTCTAAGTGGTGATTATTGGTTTGATATCTCAGTAGATTCTAATGACGACGAGTGCATGTTGGCTGTATTTATACTGGAAAGATACAGAGATCCGTGGACAGCAGCAACGAAGGGTGATTGGTGCCAGGTAGAAGTCCTTTGTCTTACGCACTTAGCTACGGTAGTTTTGCAAGAGCTCCTGACCCCTGTCCCACGTAAACCATCTGTATCATATGATTCCGAGCATTGAAGTGGTTCATCTTCTGGTTTCTGAGGCCAGACTCGCTTCTACTGGTAACATCACCCTACAATTTTAACCCCCGGCCCTTTCTAGGTCTGGTCTTGTCCAGGAAAGAGTGAGATGCGCGAAAATGACCACCTTTGCTGATTTGGATTGAAACTGAAATTTCGTATTCTCGTCGGTTATTGCAGATCAACCCTAGTCCGGACCGAGGACCAGTCCCGAGCCCTTTCCCAGCATTAACAGATCATATTAAACATACTTTCGGTGGTTCTGGTCACCTCCCACTCCCTGCTTTAGACGGACCCGGAGAAAATACTTATTGCCCCGAGCACTGCCGACGCCCCGGCCCGAATCCTGACGCCGAGACGTGAGAGTCTATAGCGAATATAGAAAACCTGTACCGGAGATAAAGTTGCGATCTGCCTGCGTTTGCCTTTTCTGCAGCGCTCGGTGACACTCTGTCTCACCTCGGGGCCGACGGCTACTTCTGGCTTAAAGAGCATGTCAGGGGCAGAGATATTGCCTCCGCCGAAAGCCGACGGAATGGTCGGGGATGGAAAATGTTAAATAGGCCCTTAATAACATTCCCAGTTCCTTCAGTCGAACTTAGAGTATTCTTGTTTTGCTACTATTCAGCGTTCCCAGTACGAAGATAGTCATGGCACAGTTGAAGATCCTCATCTGCGGCGCGGGCATTGCCGGCCCTGCCCTCGCTTTCTGGCTTTCCAAATTGGGCCACGACGTTACGGTTATCGAGCGGTTCCCAGCCCTGCGCACCACGGGCCTGCAAATCGATCTGCGGGGACATGGGATCGAGGTCATGCGACGAATGGGTCTCGAGCAATCGTTCCGCGCAAAGTCGGTTAAAGAACAAGGCCTGGAAGTGGTCGACCGCTCCGGCAGGCGAAGGGCCTATTTCCCGGCGAATAGGTCAGGCAAAGGGCTGCAGAGCTTCACCACCGACTTTGAGATATTACGGGGAGATTTATGTCAGCTTTTGTACAGCGCGACGGTGGATCGTGTCAAGTATGTCTTTGGAACGAGTCTCGAAGGCATCACCGATCATGACGGCTATGTGGAAGCCCTCTTTTCAGATGGCCGAAAAGAGAATTTCGATCTCATAGTTGGTGCGGATGGCCAGGGATCGCGCACTCGCAGATTGATCCTCGACCCTGACGCTGCGGACCCATTCCATCCCCTTGGAGTTTATATAGCGTACTTCACAATCCCTCAACCTATCCGAGGGGATGAGTACCTAGCCACTATATACGTCGCTCCTCAAAGGCGGTTCGTGTTCACTCGCAGGCATAACGCACGCGAGATCCAGGTGTACCTCGCCTGCAAGCCCGATTCGAACCGACTGAAGAATGCTCAGAAAGGGGACGTCATGGAAGAAAAGTCTGGTTTTGCGGAGATATTTCGAGGCGCAGGGTGGCAGGCAGAGGACATCATCAAGTCGCTAGAGCATGCTGACGACTTTTATTGCGAGCGACTGGGACTAGTCAAGTTGGACTGTTGGTCCCGCGGCCGAGTGGTTCTCCTGGGAGACGCAGCATTTTGCCCGTCGGCAACCACTGGAATGGGCACCACCTGCAGCCTTGTCGGTGCCTATATATTGGCCGGTGAGATAGGTAAACGGTGCAGAGGAGGTTCTGGGGTGGATACTGATGGAAGTGCTACCAAGGACGCTCTGTCCAGCGCATTCAAAGCTTATGAACAAAGATTCCGGCCCTTCATTGACCAGGTTCAAAAGGGCTTATCTGACGGACCTAGTGTTTGGGACCAGATTCCATCAACATCCTTCGGTATCGCTGTCCTCAATTTCCTCCTCGCTATAGCCTCATTCTTCAGATTGGATGTCCTGGCCAGGTTGGTTCTCCGCGAAGATGTAAAAGGATGGGCACTCCCAGACTATGATGAGATGATGTAGATAGTCTCCCTTCTGCTAGCGTTATGGTGAACAGAGGAAAGACATTGGCGTGCCGGTGCAGAGATCTGATCCATATATATAATCCTTGACAACCACCTTTTATTCAACCCTTAGATGTCGAATCGATAGGATAGATACAGGCCGGGATAATGCTTATTACTATATATTTCACGTAAAATATTAGTTTTCTATAAACATGCTAGTTAGGCCGCAACGTGTTGGTTTCTATTGGCTTCTCTATCTAAGCGACGGAGTCGGAGGAATACATTTGGTGATCGGAGATCGAGTCCCACCGTCCCAGATTCATGCTAGCCACAGGCCCACAACTCATAAGAGACCGGGGCGGCTGTGCATCCACGCATATTGCAGCCGGGCAGACAGATACTCCGTGGGTGACGGGCTTTTAGTTCCCGATGGCCAGTCATCATCAGCTTGACAACGGACAATATATTAACCACAGTCTCCCTCTTCGAAATGATCTGGTTCTACACATCTTCATACAAAATACTTTGACTCTTCGCTCTCAGAATGAACTCCCAGAGAACCGCATATTTCGGCGCGACAGGCGGATGCGCAAATGCATGCCTGGCCCTCTCTCTCAAACAAGGGCTCAAAGCTGTCGCACTGGCGCGCACTCCCCAGAAATTGCACGATATGCTGCTGAGCCAAGGAATCAGCGAGAAAACCATCAGCGCAAACCTGATTATCATCCAAGGCGATGTCACCGACGTCGCGCCCGTCAAGAAGACCCTGATGTCCGGAGACGAAAGAAAGCTCGTTGGCAAGATCGTCTCGGGCATTGGTGCTAGTCCCTCGTTCCAGCTTTCCCTGAGAACTCCGATCAAAATGGATAACCCGCATATCTGCGAGAAGGCCACCGAGACCATCATCAAAGCTCTTGGGGAGATTTATGCGGAGTATCCGGACGAGCGACTGCGCAAACCTGTCATCACCGTTGTTTCGACGACGGGCGTGGATGGTCCTTATGATGTGCCGTGTGGTTTCAAGCGGCTTTATTCCATTGTCCTTGCAGTGCCACATGAAGACAAGAGGAAGCTGGAGGAGTTGGTCAAGGCCGACGCGTTCAAGGATGAATCGTCCAGGGTATTTGGTGGAGGAGTAATTGTTCGTCCGTCGTTGCTGGTTGGGGACCACAGTGTTGCTAGCATTGGGTCAAAGAAGCTTAGGGTGGGAACAGAGGAGAGTCCGGCTATTGGGTATACAGTGCATCGTGCTTGTGTTGGGCAATGGATTTTCGAGGAAGTTGTCAACAAGACTGAGGTTGACTGGCTGGGAAAGGCCGTGACTTTGACTCAATGATGAGGATTCTGTATGCCCTTGTTTTGATCTGTTGTCCTTGATGATACACCATTTGTCCTGCGTGTTAGGTAATGCTATAGTCTATTGTCATGCTGGTTAAAAAAGCATCGCCCTAATATAATATGATCTGGATACTAGACTCTCTGGATTTAAAGTTAATTGTGAGTCTACAGGTGATAACGAACTAGAAAATCATAAGCTCTATGGTGAGCTTGAGCATGCATTGGGTACAGAATAAGCTTGCAAGGCAGCAAAGGAACATAGAATGAGATTGATTTTTAGACTAGAACAGTTATCTGAAACCTTGTCTCATTGGGTGAAGCAGTTATTGAAGCAATAGATGGTATACTCAGTGTTAATTCTTGGCCGGACTGCTGAATTTGAATAGCTTCAACTTTGTGAATTGAGTATTCATCTAGATAGGCTAGTACGTTCTAGACAGTCGGAAAGGGGTATTCGACCTTCTGCGTGCCACTGGACCCCTGCGACATTACAGGTGTATAGAAGTGATTTCCATGGTAATGCGGTACATACTTGCTCATGATAGGGTTCTTTCTGCATGGGAATTCTCGTGTATAATAGAATCTGTACAACACTAGGGAGTAATGAACTGGTGCACTTTTACTGTTCTATCCATTAGATTCTACATAAGGTTCGAACTTCAAAGTCTCTCAAGGAGTCCAGGAGAGGGAATATGGGGATCTTGATTACAACATGTTTTGCAACATTCCACCCTCCCCTGGAATGTTTTGATTCTTATATCCAAACAAGGTCGATCAGGGTAACCCGGCCTAAATTACTATTAACTATCCGCTGCTATTGAAGCAGTCAGACATCCTCACTACCAGCGGACCCTAAAACCTCTTTTTTCTTCACCCAGACGTATCATTCACTTGTCACCATGAGATCATCCTTGAGCATCGCGGCCTTCACCCTCATCACCTCCGTGGCTGGCCTTCCCTCCCTCGAAGTCATTCCACGAAGCGATGGGCAATTTCCGCTGCTCGATCCTGGGATGACAATCAAAGAAGCTGCAAGTAAATGTGGGGATTAGGCGCAGCTCTCGTGCTGCGGCCGGGCCGTCTCCGCTGGTGATCGTACCTCGGTCGACGAGGGGATTGCCTCTGGACTTTTGAGCAACCTCGTCGGGGGTGGTACAGGAACGGTCGGCATTCATGCTTTTGATCAATGCTCCAAGTTGGATGCCCAGAGTGAGTGTTCGCCATCTTCCACTCGGAAATGGGCTAACAGGTGTAGTCGGTCTTATACTACCTATCCAAGATCTGCTGAACCAGAAGTGCAAGCAGAATGTGGCTTGTTGTCAGAAAAGTGCCCATGACTCGGTACGTATCCTGCATTATCCATTGCTACCTACTAACGCATTTTAGTCCTCATCTGGTATCGCTGCCAGTCTGCCGTGCGTTGTTTTGGGATCCATTCTGTAAGATTATCACAACGAATGCACGAAGCCAGGCTACGTGAAGACAGGCATTCTTTGACCTTATTTGATTAATACGGTCTAATTGTGAACCATTCCTATACAAAACTCGATTTGCGCATGCCTGAGTCTGCCATGTAGTTCACAATATGTAGATCCTCCCCTCGTAGGGCTGTAGTGTATCCAATGTCGAGGTGGGATAGTTGCTGACCAAAAGCTTCATCTGTCCTGCCATGCCGGCTTGAGTGAGTGGCTGAGGTGAGGAGGTGAAGTTCAAGGCAACCAGTGCCCGTTTCGCCTCCCTCGATTTCACAAAGCAAAAGGTCTCGAGATTCTCAAAGTCCACCACCTCAAACGCACCATGGATAAATAAGTCACGGTACTCCTTGCGCAGCCGCAGTACCGTCTTCCAGAACGAAAGGACACTTTCGGGATCTGACTCCTGCTTCTTCACGTTGATATCTCTGTACAGATCGTGAGTACGCATCCACGGTGTTCCCGTCGTGAATCCCGCGTTGGGAGAATCGTCCCACTGCATCGGCAGTCGGGCATGATCTCGCGCCAGAATTCGCAGTCCATCCATGATGCGTTCGGGTCTGCTCGTATCGGTGCCATTTGCCGCCTGGCGCTCGGCTTCTCGATAATATCCCAGCCCTTCAATGTCCTTAAACTCATCGATTGACCAATCCCGCGGCGCATTGATCATCCCGATTTCCTGCCCTTGGTACAAGAACAAGGTTCCGGTCATGGTCACCATCATCAACGCCAGCATCTTAGCGGAGCGTTCTCGGAACCCAGGGTCATCGGATCCGAATCGTGACACAGACCGGCCGTTGTCGTGGTTCTCACAGAAAGCTGTCGTCCACCCGTCCGTCCCCTCGACGAAAGACTGCCACTTGCCAACGATGGCCTTCATCTCGGTGAGCTTCCACTGCTGAAAGATGTACTTGTCTTCCAGGCTGCTGCCCATACCGATATGACCAATGTCCAGATGGAAGACCATGCTCAGCTGCTTCGCAGACGCACCGACGTACTGGAGCACATCTTTCGGGTCGGGCGTATTCGCCAGCTCGCCGACGGTCATCACGTCCCCGTACGGCGCCAGGGCTTCGTCGTACATCTCGCGCAGGAACTCGTGGATGCGCGGGCCATTGCACCACATCTCCACCGCGGGTTGAATGTAGCTCTTCGGGTCGGTGACAGGGGCGTCGGGGAAATCCGTCCGTTTGCTATACTTGTTGACTGTGTCGACGCGGAAGCCATCCACCCCTTTGTCCAGCCAGAACCGAATGGCGCTGTTATAGATGGCTTCTCGCGTGGCCCGGTTGTCCCAGTTTAAATCCGGCTGCTCCTTCGCGTACAAGTGCAGGTAATACTCCTGTGTTTGCTCGTCCCAAGTCCACGTACTCCCGGCGAAATAGCCCCTGTAATTTGTCGGCGGAAGACGATTGCCCTGCTCATCATACCGCGCTGGCCTCCAGAAATACCAGTCGCGTTTCTCGTTGTTTCTGCAGCTGCGACTTTCTTTGAACCAGGCGTGCTCGTCACTGGTGTGGTTCACCACTAAATCCAGGATGAGCTTCATCCCGCGCTGGTGGCACTCGTCAATCAGCTTTTCGACATCCTCAACGGTTCCGTATGCCGGTAGCACTTTTTCATAGTCGGAAATGTCGTAGCCCATGTCGTGCATCGGGGAGTCGTAGTGCGGGGACAGCCATACTACGTCGACTCCCAGTGAATGGAGGTATGGGATCTTAGAGACGAGACCGGGGATATCGCCCCATCCGTCGCCATTGGAATCCTTGAAAGATGCGGGGTATACCTAGCCATGTCAGCTGTGCATGGGATGTACCCGTCAAGGCAGAGTACCTGGTAGACAGTGGCCTCCTTCCACCAGTTGTTGGTCCCTGTTGGGACGGTTATTGTAGCGTGCGGTGACATGCTTCTGATACTCGACTACAATACCACAAACTCATTTTTCCCCCTGAGTTATGTGGCGTTCATCTTCAATTATTTATGTGCGGAGAATGTCTTCGCAATTTGATCACTCCGACTTGCATCCGCATCAACTCCGAATAGACTCCGATCCCGCAATCTTGGGCGTGGGGGATGATTATAGGATATCTCCTACAGGCTGAAAGCTATAAATCTATCTAAAGAAAGCAATGATGCATCGAGCATACATCTATAAAGGGAAAAGCTCAAATGAGTTAACCATGAAGGATGAGCTCGTTCAATCATAGTATGTAGCTGGAGGCAGATATTAAGATAAGCGGTTATCCAGCTAATTTATATCATTATTAGCCCAAGGATTACAGTCAAATAAGTAGATATCATATAATATAATATTTGAATGCCTAGCATGACTTGGACATAATTAAAATCTAAACAGTCTATAATGTTGATAGTTACTTTGTTTACCCCTATAGTCTTGGTAAGTCATGGCAGTTGCGCTGAATTGTATCTATTTCTTAAGCCCAACTGGTGGTTTGGCAATACTATGGATCAGCGTGGGCTTTCGATGCTGCCTGTTTTGCGAGAAATATCAATCTTCGAGTGAGGCCGGCAGTGAAGGAAAAGGGCGCGAAACGCCTGGTGGCTCGGGACTCATGATCAAGGTCAGTAAATATCTCTACTACATTTCCCAGCAGCTGGAGATCACTGCCAAAAGTCGATGCGTTGGGGTCGGTGATCAGATGCCGGAACAGCGACAGGACAGCGGTCAATATGAACTGAGCATGGATCCTCAGATAACATCAGCTCACCACAAGGATAGGGGACAGGTTGCTGATTTGCATCGACCTACCAGAAAGTATGCCAGTTGAGAAAATCGCGTATGCGGTATATATACAGAAGCATGGATCTTGATTCCTGGTAAAAGAGCTCCGCACTAGAGGGCAGGAAGGACCACTCCTGGGGAGAGAGCTGGCTGCAAGCACTAACTGCGCCGTGGATTTTGCCCAGGCAAAAGTAGTACTCCAGGTGCAGGTTCACACCACGTAAGCTTAGATCATGGAATGTGTAATTGCGAGCGTTTTCAGTCGCAAACAAATCAGGCCAGCAGCTATCAGGGAAGCTCGACTTCAGGTCAAGTAGTTCCTGATCTAGTTCGCGAATGTACTGAAGGCGCCTGGCCTCAGGCTGTCCCCGGCCATAGTCAGAATAGAGGAGATGATACACCTTAGATTTGATCAAGGAAAGGCGGATGTCCGAGGGGAACAAAAGCTCTTGAGACGACAAGGCTTTAATAAAGAATTGATGATCTGAAGATGACAGAACGTAGTTGTCGGGCAGCTGCAAGTCGCAGTCGTCGTCTTTCATCAAAGGAGGGTGACCAAAACGGATTGCCATGTCTTTATCGAGACCATAGCAGAGCCAGAATAGAGCGCGCAGATGTCTTCCTTCTGCCTCATGGATGACACAATACCTATTTCCTCCGAGACTATACAACATCCGAACAGCGATGGCTAGCAACGATGCCGCCGAGCTCGCCTGACCAATAGGTAGAATATACATGAACTGTACCATTAGGAAGACACCCCTATAACTTTGTTGTGGAAGGAGCCTACCAGTATAACAACAGTCTCTAAAGTTCTCAGGCCAATACCCTCCATCAAGATTCGGGGCAGCAGCGTCAGCACAGTCTGCATATACGCATCAGGGTCAGCATCGGCAAACGCGGGCTCAAGACGGTGCATTTGCGTGACCATTGCAGTGAGTGCAATTAGGCAAGCCGCGTTGGCAGTCGGAGTTGAGTTAAGCGGGCTGTTCAGAATATTTGAATCGAGTAATTTTTTTACTGCCTGAGTATTGACGACAGGAAAAACGGAGTATAGCCCAGCCTTGGAGAAGTGGTGTACACAGCGTTGTATCAAGTCAATCGGTGGCCATTTTTGGGATATGGTTCTTTTTGATTCTACAGGAGCCTGCAGCTTGAATGATTGCGATAGGTGGTATAAGAGCCGGTCGATATCGAGATGCGAGCCAGTCTGCTGGTGAACAACAACAGAGAATGACGCTCTTTGAGCTGATTGACTCGTTCCTATCCCGCAGTGCGCAATGTGCCATTGGAACATGCCCAGTGCTGTGTCACAATCGTATAGATCTGGTAGATAGTCGGCGGCCAGATTTTGAGGAGGAAAATATTCAGGACATGCTGAATCATTGCTTCTGTCGCTTTGATGCGATTTCGTGCTGCTATTTTGAGCTGCTAGCAAAGCTTCCAGCTCCCGGATTTGCGCTTCGGCTTCGGCAAGCCGTCTGAAGAGATGTGAGCCTTACGGGAAAAAGAAGAGTCCGGGTTTCTTACGTCTTAGTGTCTTTCCTCTGTGGCGGAGGCGAGCTCTGAGTGAAAATACAAGGCACCGATGCAAGACGACAGGTTTCACAGGCCGGCTTAGCATTATCACACCGAATCTGTCAATCGATTGCGGTGAGTGGCTGGTGTCCTTCTGGTACACGAGTGTAGGTCTAGACTAGATGTATCCAGACCACGTACCTTTCTCTGTCGACACAGATCACAAGCAGTCCGTACCCTACCACCCCGTCGAGTGGGAAACGAGCCACTCATCTCTGACCAATTTCAAGCCATGGACTTTCACATGGAGTGCTGTAGGCCGTACACCGGTCCAATAGGTGAAGGTCAAGTGGCTACCACGCCGGATATGCTGAGAAAGCGGAAATCATTAATTTCAGCCCATATAAGAAGTTGAAACGTTGATGAGTCATCGGGAATGGTCTTGCTCCGGAATAACGTGCCTATCAAGGATCACCATTTGGGGCTTCCACAACGGGAAAACACAGTTGCAGATCATGATTCATGAGGGATCTTGGCAGAAAATGCTCATGCAGACACCTAATTGTACCTGATCTACCCGTCACTATTCCCCATCCACCATTACCTTTATCATTCATGCGATTCGTCAGGCTGTATTCCACCCTAGGCTTCTAAGCATATAGCACAAAAGGTAGTACTGCTCTATTTTTGATGACCTATCAAGGATCAAACCTCGATTCATTGGACTTCTGTCAGTCTCAGGCTAAAGTGACTGACGACAGTGATGACGAGTCATTATGCTTCTGGAGCTCAGGTATGGACTCTACTACTTCATCAGGAAAAAGCACTTCTCGATTCAGGAGGGAAGAGAGGTATAAAGTCGCCCTTCGCCGTAGAGGATTGGAAGTCATCAACCACATCTTAAGCAAGCAAATACGGCGTTCTCTCGTCTGTCTCCTGTGTTCCGACAATGCATCCCTCCCAACTTGGAAAGCTGGCTGTTGTAGTCATGGCTGGGCTTGCAATTGCTCATCCTGGTGCTCACGAGCCTAGCTCCTATGCAGACATGACCAAGCGAAACTTTCTCCACAACGCCCGACGAAGCCTGGACCAGTGTGCTGACCACCTGGAGCGACGTGGAGTCCATGCTCGTGCTGAAGCTCGCCTTGCTGCCTTGTTCGACAAGTATAAAAGGCGATCCCTTGCCGTCCGTGACACAGACAAAGTGGTGAATACTTCCCACCATTCCAATTTGGACGTTTCGCCAAACACCCCGGAGACAGAACTCTTCTCCAAGAATCCAGTCTGCATTCTTGCTCCCGAGGGCGAAATTGGACCCTTTTGGGTAAAGGGCGAATTGATCCGGCATGATATTTCTGATGGCCAGGCAGGCATCCCCATCATCATTGATGGACAGTTCATCGACATCAACACCTGCGAGCCCATCCAAGATCTCTACTGGGATGTCTGGAACTGCAATGCCACTGGTGTCTATTCCGGCGTCCAGAGCAGCATGAATGGCAATGGTAACGACGCCTCGAATCTGGACAAGACCTTCTTGCGTGGCATCCAGAAGACCGATGCGGATGGAGTGGCGGGCTTCAAGACTGTATTCCCCGGACATTATTCTGGCCGTGCAACCCATGTTCACGTCGTCGCGCATCTTAATGCAACGCTCCTGCCTAACAACACGTTGACCGGCGGCTACGTCCCTCACATTGGTCAGCTGTTCTTTGACCAGGACTTGATCTACAAAGTCGAGGCTACCTACCCCTACAACACCAGCACTGTGTCCATCACCAAGAATGCAGACGACCACGTTGTCCAAGGCGAGACCGAGGATAGCAACTCGGATCCGTTCTTTGAGTATGCCTATCTGGGTGACTCCATTGAAGATGGCCTTCTCGCTTGGGTCACCCTGGGAGTCAATGTAACGGCCAACCACGACTCGGCTGTTTCATACGCTGCTACCCTTACATTTGATGGTGGTGTCGCAAACGAAGATAGCGCCGGAGGGGTCCAGATTCCCTCTAACTCGGCTGGAGCAATGCCGTCCGCATGATAGCCAGCGAGCGTTATGTTCAACAATATTCTAGCTTTGGGGCAGCGTTTCTCAGAGTTCATGGAATGGAGCTTTCAGAGCGCCTACTTCAGGACCATGATCCTTCTTTGGAACGTCTGCAGATCACCGGCTTCATGCCTATGCTTCACTGTTTTCAACAAACAGTTTTCATCATTCTATGGAGTATACTTGTAACCTACATAGTCTTTCATTCAATCCAGTCACAGTTCTCTACCTGGTACCTTCGTGATTTTGATTCCCCAGGAATTAAGTTCAAGTATGCTACGAATAGTGATGACTGTTTCAGAAACATCGATGTTTAAACAAGCAACCTGAGCTCAACCGCTTAGTGCGGCGGGACACCTTGAACAGTAGCGATGAATCGGCATGACTTGTACATCCTGGCAGCTGCCATAGCCTGTACGGACACTGAGGATAAGCCATTAGGCGCTGTCCTTCTAGGCGCTGAGCATATCATGCGCTCAACGAATGCAGCGGACTTCATGTTCCATCTGACTATAGGCGGTCTGACATTGAAGAGGTTTCATGGCTTTTTCCTTTTCTTTTCTTCTCACGATTTTCTCTCTGTTGAGTAGTTTTATGTCGTTCATGGACTCCTGTGATTTGGGTGACCATTTCAATAAGCAGGGCACCCGTAAGCCGGGGCTTGAATTCTTGCTGGGTTCATCTCTATGAGCCAGAGCTAGCAGTTTTGAATAGATTGTCGTGAGCCAAGAATCAAGATGACAAAAGAATAAGCATGAAATGGACTCTTCACCTGATCGCAGCTTTGTTCCTCCCACCACTGATATGCCTTTCACTATTCTACTTTCAGGCATGATGGCGAAGTGTATGATGACCTGCGGCGAATAGCGCTGCTACGAGTCCAACTATGTAACCCAAGGAATTGCCAAGCATTTTTTTAGATCGCTCCGACGGACAATCAGTGCTTTCCCATTGGACATAATGAGTAAAAGCCACGGCAATTACTTCCCATATTGTACACCCAAGACTGGCGTGTACCGACGCCAATCTAAAAGTCTTGGTGAAGTAGATTCTGCAACAAAAGACGCGGAGATCCGACGGAGAGGTCCCTTAAATCTTCATCAAGATTGCTCCCATGTCGACTTTTCCAATCAACCATGCAGATCGTTATCTTCAGCATTTCCTCAGGGGGTCATGCACTATATTGAGAGTCCACTCCGCAATGCTTACAGATGACTGTTATCATTGCTAAAGTAATGGTCTCGGGCCAGCGATGCGGGGAAATGGGCAGTTGTCTGTTCTTGCAACATCCCATGATGTGTATAGCCCCGGACTGCGTCGGGCCAAGATTGGACAGTTCTATGCTTGATGGTGACCTGAAGCTGATGGGAAATGAAGGATTAGTAGCGCCAGATGCTCTGGTATAAATACTCCAGCTGAAGCTCATAGATCTCTCACCATGAGCACCTCACTCTGGACCTGGTATTCTTCTCCTTCAGATCAACTTCGTCAAAATGCGAGGTCTTCTTCTGGCCGGGGCTCTTGCCCTACCTGCTTCTGTCTTTGCCCATCCTGCTCAGCAGTCTCAAGGACTCCATCGGCGTACTGTCGATTTGAACGCTTTCCGCTTGAAGTCCATGGCAAAGTATGTCAATGCGACAGAGACCAGCGGCGATGCTCCGTCCTCCTTTGCTCCTTTCGTGCAGCAAAGCTACGTGGAGGTCGCGACTCAGCATGTCAAGACAATTGTCCCTGACGCTACTTTCCGCGTTGTTGATGACCACTATGTTGGTGACAATGGTGTCGCCCACGTCCATTTCCGCCAGACAGCCAACGGTCTCGATATCGACAATGCCGATTTCAATGTCAATGTATGCATCGTTCCAAGAAGTGTATGCCTCTCGCTAATTCAGGTGTGCAGGTTGGAAAAGACGGAAAGGTCTTTTCCTATGGCAACTCTTTCTACACCGGCAAGATCCCAAGTTCGACTTCATTGACCAGGCGCGACTTCTCCGACCCTGTGACTGCTCTCAAAGGAACGAAAAATACACTGCAGCTTCCCATCGCTGTGGATAGCGCGTCTTCCCAGCGCGCAGAAGAGAAGGAGTCGTACATTTTCAAGGGGGTCTCCGGAACTGTCTCCGATCCCAAGGCGAAACTGGTATACTTTGCCAAGGCCGATGGAGAGCTCGCCTTGACATGGAGAGTTGAGACGGACATTGATAGCAACTGGCTCTTGACCTACATCGATGCCAAGAGCGGCCAGGAGATCCATGGTGTGGTTGACTATGTCGCTGAAGCGGACTACCAAGTATAGTGAGTATGGCGGAGTCAATTCCAGTCGAGGAAGCATGACTGACATTGATTGCCAGCGCATGGGGAATCAATGATCCAACTGAGGGCTCGCGTACCGTGATCAGCAACCCATGGGACTTGACTGCGTCGGAATTCACCTGGAACAGCGATGGCAGCACAGAGTATACCACTTCTCGCGGCAACAACGGGATTGCCCAATCCAACCCCAGTGGTGGAACAAGCTACCTGAACAACTATCGCCCTAATAGCTCAAGCTTGTCGTTCAAGTACCCTTACTCCACGAGCTCGACGCCTCCATCATCCTACATCGATGCATCGATCATCCAGCTATTCTACACGGCCAATACCTATCATGATCTGCTGTACACCCTGGGCTTCAACGAGAAGGCCGGTAATTTCGAGTACAACACCAATGGGCAAGGCGGGCGTGGAAGCGACTATGTGATTCTCAACGCCCAGGATGGCTCTGGCACCAACAACGCCAACTTTGCGACGCCTCCCGATGGACAGCCAGGCCGCATGCGCATGTATGTCTGGACTGAGTCGACGCCGTACCGGGACGGCTCGTTTGAGGCCGGAATTGTCATTCATGAATATACCCACGGTCGTATGTATAGCCCTTGGCTCATTCTCGAGAATCCTGGTGTCGAGACTGACATCCTTAGTGTCCAACCGACTCACTGGAGGACCTGCCAACTCCAACTGCCTGAATGCCCTCGAGTCGGGCGGCATGGGTGAAGGCTGGGGAGATTTCATGGCCACCGCAATCCGACTCAAGGCCGGTGATACGCGCTCGACTGACTACACCATGGGAGAATGGGCTGCGAACAGGCCCGGCGGGATCCGCGCTTACCCCTACTCGACCTCGTTGAGTACCAATCCTCTCACATACACCAGCCTGAACTCCCTGAACGAGGTACATGCCATCGGTACAGCCTGGACGACAATGCTGTACGAGATGATGTGGAATTTGATTGATAAATATGGCAAAAATGATACGCCGAAGCCCACGTTCCGCGACGGTGTGCCGACAGATGGCAAGTACCTCGCCATGAAATTGGTCATTGATGGCATGGCTTTGTAAGTCTTGACCTTTGGGATCCTGTTCGAGGGTCAATCATGTCACTAATCACGATACAGGCAACCGTGCAATCCCAACTTCGTCCAAGCCCGTGATGCCATCCTTGATGCTGACACTGCTCTCACTGGTGGTGCCAACCAGTGTGAGATCTGGAAAGCATTCGCCAAGCGAGGTTTGGGTTCTGGTGCCAAGTACAGCTCAAGGAGTCGGGTTGGAAGCACTCAGGTTCCCAGTGGTGTTTGTTGAGTAAGAAAATAGTCTTTGTGCCATGCCATGCAGAGCAATAAGGGGTAGTCTTGGCAATGTTACGTTGTATCGCCGGTTAAATTGCCTAAGTCCCAAGTGTTATGCACCCCATAAGGCCGTAATGGAGGGGAAACGGGGGAACCTCCAAAGCGCGCCATGGACAAGACACCATGCACCATTCCTAGGTAGTTTGCTGGTATAATAACTCCGTACCTGTCATCATTTCAGGACTGGAAATGAGCATGTCAGGATGGACCAATTGATTCTGGGGGGTTTATAGCCAAGGAAATAGCCGAGCACAGACCCAACAAGGTGTCTCGAACACTGCCAATTACTGGCAGGATCAGGATTAACGGTTATCCCAAAAAGGTTTACGGCAGGGACCATTCTAAGACCATTTGATGTTCGATGATGGGTTCATCTACCCTGCCAGGCTACTACTGTTGGTTCATTCCCGAGGGATTGTAGAGCAATTCCAAGCAATTGAGTACTTAATCCTCGTGGGCCCCGTTTCCATCTTCCAACTGGCAAAGCTTCTGTCCAACTACTAGTCATTCTTTCATTCATTCATTCATTGCTTTGCATTGTCACCAGTCACTCTTTGGAAGTTCCGTTCAATATAATACTTTAAAAGAAGCTTCTCTTTCCTATCTGCCATTTTGTTCCGATAGTGGACTCCACAATCTCGTCTCCGCGAATAAAAGCCAACCTAAGCAAAAGAATACGAGAATCAACATGATGCGCTCCGTGATTCCCCTGATCGTCTCGCTCGGTTCGTTGGCAGCTGCCATCAACATCACCAGTCCCGCTGCCAACTCGACCTACGCAGCCGGGTCCACCGTCACCGTCGAGTGGACCAGCGTTGATACCGATCCCACCAACTTCAGTCTCTATCTCTGGAACTTTGTCTCCTGGCCACCAACTTATGTTCCGCTGGCTGTGGACATCCCTACGTCGGATCTGTCCTACCCTGTCCAGATCCCCTGCGACACCAACCCCGAATGGGGCTACCAGATCAGCGGCATCAACGGCACCAACGTCTACATCATCTACGCGCAGGGTGACAAGTTCACTGTCTCCGAACCCGTCAACGGCACCGCCTGTGTCGACCCTGCTCCTTTGCCGACGGCTTCCACCTGCCCCAGCGCTGCGGCGTCTACCGTTTATGTCACGGTGAGCCCTACCGGTTCCAGCTCCCGTCTTTTCCATCATTCCTCCCACGTCCTTCCTGCTCCTTCACCCAGCACCACCAGCACTTCCACCTCCAAATATGTGAAGCCCGGAATCGTGCCTAAGACTATTGGTTGGTGTTCAGACTATTCCCACCCTGTGACCTTGGACAAGGTTCCCACCCCGACTCCGTCCGTGGCCAACAATGGAAATGGAAATGGATCCGATGCTTCGCCGGTGGTCACCGCGGCACCTGGCCAGGTCACCGGTGCTCGTGGCCCCCGCGTGAAGACCATCACCACTACTGTGAGCGTGGCAGCTTGTCCGAACGTGGATGCGATTTGATGAGGGTGGAAGTTTCTTCAACGGAGCAGTTCAGACTCAATTTCTTCATGCCCATGTACTTTCTTCCAGTATCTATACTTCTGAGTACCCATTGTAGGGGAATATATTTTATGTAACAATAGCTAGGCTATCCTCACTATACCTAGATTCTGATCTGCCTAGCATATATTTCATGTCTCTGCATATCGAAAGAAGATATGGAGTGATTCTTTTCTCAGTATGATAGATTGCTAGCTAGTCAAAGGTGAACAATTATGGATTTGTCCCGAATGAAGGCTTGCCGAGGGTGTCATACTTAAGAAGACTGGGGTACGACCTAGGATAAACGAAGAAGTGAATGAAATCAGTCACCAAACATTCCTTTGGACATTCTGCTAGAGTCTTGGACTCTTGTAATAGATATATGAATAACCAAGACAAAACAAGAACTTGGGCCAAGAAATCCACTCCCTCATATCTTCTGGTCTAAATATGGCTGGTCCCTCGCCGATCGACGCCAGATGTGACATTGCCCGGCTATTTTTGGGATACGAAGACTGCCCTGACAGTCAATGTGCAGGAACACGAACGCTAAGCTTCGTATTATGGTTGCATCCGAGATCAGCCATCCCGACCACTCCAGAAATGGTCAAGCCGGGACATCAGTCGATATCTTTCACGAGATGCATACGAGATTGGACCCTCGATCTTGCAGTTGGGGCCAAAAAACCCCCAAGAGGCCCTCATTCTGCGAGCCATTGCTCTCGTATACAGACCTGGGCTGTTTGAAGTAATTTCCGAGGCAGAACCGCAGCGAATCTCATTTGTCCTTACCCTCTTTTTACACGAGGACATTGATGATCGCCGTACTCATGACGGAGTATGGGAACATTACTGGCTCTCAGGGAGAGGACAAGGGCAGACTTGAGGTTTTGATGATCTCAAAGATCATGCAAAGGTGAGCATGGATCGCTCCAGGTCCGCTGTATAAAAGACGTCTGCACCCTCGAGTTTGGGTCATTCCCATCAGCATCAACATCTTCAGTCTTTCAAGATCAAGGCAATTACTAAAACCACCTGATCCTCAACACCTCTTTCAACATCAAAAGTCGTCATGTTGTACCTTCCTCTCGTTGCCCTCTCCTTTGCTGCCACCGTTCCTCTGGTGAGCGCATACCCCATCACTGGCGATGGTGTCAACTGCCGCTCTGGTCCTGGCACCAACCATGCCGTGGTCAAGTCTTACCCCAAGGGCCATGAGATCTCCATTGTCTGCCAGGCTGCCGGCACCAACGTCAAGGGAGATGAGCTCTGGGACAAGACGTCCGACGGCTGCTATGTCGCCGATTACTACGTGAAGACCGGTACCACTGGCTATGTCACCAAGCACTGCGATGGCGGCAGTGATGGTGGCAGCGGCGGCGGCAGCGGCAATCTTCCCGGTCTCACTGCCACTCAGTCCTCTCACGCTCATGCAATCATCGGTGAAGCAAAGAAGGAAGGCCTGGGTCGTCAAGGCTGTCTGGCTGGTATTGCAACTGGCTTGGTCGAGGTGAGTACCTATTCCTCTTCATTGCATCGGCAATTATGATCATTGTACTGATGGTGAGCTATTATAGTCCAATCTTTTGATCTATGCCAATAGCAAGGTACCCGAGTCGCTCAAATACCACCATGATGCCGTCGGCCACGACTACGACAGCGTGGGCATCTTCCAGCAACGTGCTGTCTACTACCCCAACATCGCTGCTGACATGGACCCTGCACGCTCTGCGGCTCAGTTCTTTGCCAAGATGAAGAATATCAGCGGCTGGAAGACGATGGATGTCGGCAAGCTTTGCCAGAAGGTGCAGGTCTCCGCCTACCCCGATCGGTATGCGCAACGTGTGCCTGCTGCTGAGAAGATCTGCGCTGCTGGTGGACTGTAGACAATGCATGATACTTTGCACTTCTTTCAATTCTGTTTCTCAATGGATGTGAGCAACAGCGCATAGAGAAGACCACTAGACCGGTCGAGTCTTGTTTTGGGTTGTCTTCATCTACCTTACCATTCCACATCATCGCCTTTGGTTGGATCATGTATATTTGACTCTTATTCTATATTTCGTCTTCTATCTCGATTTTCACACTCTTCATTTGTCGACAGCAATTTGATCCTTGCTTCAATGAGAACCCGCGCTTACTGTATAGCTGACCTTAGACTTGCCAGCCTTCCTCGTAATCTTCCTCACTGTAGTCGGCCCACATAAGTCAGTCGTATCGACATGAGTCCCTCCACAGGGATACACTTCGGCTCCTACGACGTTGACAACGCGGAACTTCTCGCCGGGAGCGACGAGACTGCGATCGGGCAGCAATCGCTCCAGTCCTCGTTTTCGAAAATCCTCCTCATCCCACCATTCCACCTCGACAGGCAGCTTGGCCGCTACAAACTCATTCACTTTCTGCTGGATCGGGTCCTTCCATTTCCCCTCGATGACGCCCTGGAACTCGCACGCCGCCGAGTCAGGGAAATGCGAGGCCTTGAGTTCCTCGAAGTCCTCCACCTCCTTTTCCAAAAGGTGCCGGACCGCGGCGCCGAGGACATGGCCCGCCGTGTGCAGGCGCGAGTACAACAGACGCTTATCAGTGTCGATCGCCTGTTCGACCGTGTCGCCCTCGGAGAAGACGGTGGATGCTGTGGTGAACCGACCAAAGTGGAGGACTTGTCCCTCCCGCACTGCGTCCATGCGGACGGCTGCGACCGTGAACGCAGCCCCCGAGGCGCTGGTCATGGTGCCCTCATCCGACGGCTGGCCGCCGCCCTGGGGATGGAAAATGGTCTGATCTGTGACGACAACGTGATCTGCATCGGTGCCTTGTTTGAAGAGCTGCCGGTTCGATTCTTCCAAGGCCGGGAAAGGGTGGATTGCCCTCACGATGGTTTGAAGATTGTGGAGCTTGGCATTGTGCTGGAAGGCCAGAAAAGTGCGAACGGTCGAGGTCATATCAATGAAAGTAGATTTCCTAGTGAATTTAAGACTTAGAATCAGATAGTACAAATGAGAGCTCCTTAAGGTACTATTGAAGTGAAGAGCTGCTCTTCGTTCTTTTTCCTTCGCCCGTCTTCTCTGCGAATCTCCCCTCAGCGCAGTCTGAGTCACCTCACCCAACGGGGAATAGCTTATTTCCTGTCAGAATGACGATTATTCCGAAGGACAAGGCATGAAGATTCGATCTGTGGATCATTATAGCGCTTTAACCACATAGTAAAGCAAAACCGGCGCTTTTAAGTAATTTCAAGATGCAGACCCCATTCTGACCGTAAAAGGGCCGACCGTCAACAACGCGACGGAAACGTCGAGCGAGCAGTGAACAGAATCAAATCAAACAAGATGCAGTTGCAGTCTGAGCCAAAGACTTGGGATATGGCTAAATGTACTTGAGCTGTCGCATAGAGCGCAGCATCATAAACACACCATACAAAGTGGCGTAGATGCCTCCTCCGGCTGTGGCCCAGGCAGGTGCCTGCAAACGCAAGGACGAGAGGGGAATGGGGCCTGGCGTTTTGTAGGTATCCGACCGGACGATGTGCTTGCGCTTTTGACTGGTGTCTGGAAGACAAGTTGTTTGCATCCTGGTTAACCCAGTTGCTGTTGACCTTCACCATCTCGCAAGTGGCATACCTGGGGTCTGAAGCCTCTGCTTTAGACTACTAAAGAGAGGCCTCGAACGACCGACAATTGCTTGGTACATGGTTCGTGGTAGATCTCAATCGGAGGCAATATCTTGTCAGTATTGTGAAGTAGGTTGGATATTGTACATTGATTGTACATTGAAATCAGTCGACACCAAGATATTATTATAAGCGCCGAAAACCAGCGACGATAGGACAAAGGTCTCAGTACAAAAAGAGTTCCGGGGGCGACTTGAGGACGATCAAGCAGTCATAAGACCCAGCATTTAGTGTTGTGGCGAACCATCATGACATCCCCGGATTTGAGAAAATGCAAAAGAATCCACCATCATACCAAGGTACAATGCTGTCAGGGAGAAATAAACAGCCAGTCAGTGGTTGGGAGAGTCGCTGCTCTCATCGACTATCCAATCGCTTTTCACAATTCCTCAGCCACATTCAGGGTATTGATATTGACTTGACAGAGCCTAGATCAACAGATGTCTGTCGATTCAAGCTTCTCAAGCCAGAGTCATCAACAAGATTGTGAGCATCTGAACGAGTGCGTCTCAGGGATTGAGCTCCGACGAGCGTGACTCGAGCGCCGTGTTGTGTTGCCGATCAGACTAATAATGCTAGATACTTCCTACTAGTAACTAAAAACTATATAGTAATAGCTTTATTTCCCATCATTAATCCTACCGACATGTAGAAGTGTACCCAGTTACTTTCACTGTTAGGTGTAGATACTCTGTTTTATAGAAGGAAGCGTGCTAGTTAGGGACCTTGGACTAGTCGATGGCCAGATCAGGGGATATGTGGGCAAACAGGAAAATAAGTATCTTCCTATAGGGGTCTCAAGGTGAACCTACCTCTGTGATTTGATTGACAGACAATCCAGGTTCCACCATTACTCCATCTCTCAAGAAATCAAGCGGCATCCAGACAAGATGACCTTTGATCTCATCTAACTTCTCCCTAACGATGCGGGCGGGCAAGAACGGGTCTTGCAGATGGTCCTGCTTGACAGTTTTCCAGGCGCAAACAGATTAAAATCCTCAAAGGTCTTGATATTATTGTCCGGCACAGCATGGAAGAGAAATCGAAAGATTTCTGTGTATGTGGTGGCCTGTCTCGTCTATGTGTCCCACAGCTCGTCACTCAGTGGATCAGTCACAAAGTCATTCTCTGGCCCCTTGATATTGTCGTCCGTACAATCCCACTGACAGTCTCCCGGGGGTTGGGCGCCTGGGTCATTACTTGCATTGATATTCTGGGGTGGTAGCAAACCGAGGTGTTTGCGCCATATTTTGCGTCGTAATGTCGCAGCTAGCTGTGATGCTTTGTAGGGTTTGCCGTGCATAGTACTGTCAATCATGTTGCTGTCCTCCATGACAACAGCCAGCTCACTATCATGGTACCCAAGTTGCGACAGTTGAAGGTATTACCTCTGAGTGAAGAAAAGTTTAGCGCACCAGGCACATACCCTATCATTAATATTTGCACTGCCGCAAATAATAGTCCTGTCATCTGCAATCAATAACTTTCCATGGATGTACAGCTCCTCCTGCACAAAGTTTTCCTTCTTGCTTTCCAGGTCACCCTCCCAGGGCTCCTTGGAGACTTTTCGACCACTGAGCATGGTGTCTTCGGATATTAAGGCATGGCTTTTGGTTCTGTTACCTGCACCTATCTCGTCTTACTCTGCTTTGAATTTGGTAGTTGGCTGATCATAGATATTGCGGGGATCTCTAGACGATCCTTGGATATGTGCGTACCAGTTCCATGGTTTTCTGGACAGCCAGTTGACTCGGCTGCATACGGACGCCAGGTGCTCTCTCATGTTATGGCATGCTGTAAAGCTCAGCCAATATAGTAATGGCGGGCCTATTGGATTTACAGCTTACATGATGTCCAAGATAATCTCACCTGTTGACTGGGAAGGAAATCCAAGAATGGGGATTACTCAAGCAATTATTCGGATGGAATATGACTTAACGAGGGCAAGTCATAATTCTGGGCAGTCAGCAGAGTTTCAATGAATGCCTGGGAATGCATATAGTCATTCTATTTCCACTGGACAACATGTCCAACCCACTCTTTGCTCAGTGTATCTTATAAATAAGACGGATGCAGATAACTGACTCGATCGGGATAGCCTTGCATATAGGGTCCTAATGGGCCAGAGGGGTCCAATCTAATGATGTGGGCATATTCCATGGTTCTAGAGCCTTGTCCTTTCCCACCTCCAGTCACCCCCATCTGTGGAACATACTCAGGGAGATCTGAACATCACTCTAGTTTCCTCTCACCTTGCAGTTTTGAAAGAAACACAGTATTTCTGCCATATTCCACTGCGCTACTGATCTTTAACTCAAAGATCCTACTACCTGTACGTGTTGAGGTATAAGTATCTCTTGGCGGCCAGCTGTGATATAAATTCCCTTATCAACTCTGTTTATTGTAAATACTGTTGTCCCCAGAATGTTCTTCTAAGTAAAATCCTTCTGATCAGTCTCAAAATCTATCATTATCATCAGAATGCCTGAACCTGCTCCGCCTCAACCTGTACAGCCTGAGCGGGCTCCGCAAGACTCTGCCAGGTATGTGTCTCTGTTCCTTTCATGATTCCAGATCCTTTGCATCTGATGCCAGAAATTGCGGAATATTCTTTTTTTTAATCCGTCAATCACTAATAAACTATGTTCAGTCACGTCTGCAAACTCATCTTGGCGGTGTTTCTGCCAGTACTCGCAGTCTTTCTACACAGAGGATGCGACAAAGATCTCTGTATTAATTTCTGTTTAACCATCTTGGGCTGGTTTCCTGGTGTAGTCCATGCAATGTATGTGCCGATGTACCTCTCAATGACTGTCTGAAGAATAATGCTAAGGGAAGATTAGGTATGTCATACTCAACAAACCTGCTGTTTGATAATATACTATTCAAATAACATGAATCTAGTCAGTACTGTTTGCTATTCTTTGCAAGCCTGGGAACTAATCTATTTGTGTTTTCAAAATTGATTATGTTCCGCTACTCTGTCATCGTCTTGTATCCCATGAGGTCCTCCAGAAAAGCTGGATAGGCTGGTGAGCTGGTCCAGGGGAAGTCACTTTTTTTAATATCCAGCAAGTTAGTTCCATCATAATGAATGAATCATTGTTCGTTTTACGAAGATTGTATTAAGCAAAGGAGAGACACCTTACCCCATAGATGGTGGATCATGTGGGATGATCCTCAGCGCCATATCATAATTAGTATACTATGCAAGAAATACTTCATAGAGCTCTAAGGAGCAGGTCAAGCCATGCTAATATTGAATTCCCCTCTTTTTACTAGATAAGGAATTGTCAGATGAGATGGAAATTACTAGTGGAGTTTAAAGGTCTCCAATGTCATAACAATACACCATATATTCTCAAATACACCTCATTCTTAAGCTGCAGCTGGAAGAACCCAGGTAGTCACAGATTGACTAGGAATATTCCCGCTCCACTTCTCGCCGCTCTGAGTAGTGACAGTCACGTAGACATCGTTGCTAAAAGTGTTCTCAATGACTACTGTGCGGGTTCCATCGGGGTTCAGCGAAGCCACTGACTGCACACCTCCACTGCCAGAATATGTGTAGCTCCCACTGCCATTGAGCACGATTGCCCCAGGCGGCATGAACTTGCTAAATTGTGCCATCATGTAGTATGCGGTGTTGAGTGTGTAGCCACCGTTGTTAATGGTCACTAAGCCTTGACATGTCGCGCAGCCGCCAGTGGACAGGTGTGGACCATCCTGGGCGTTGGTCCCCAGAGTCCATGCTGCAACTCCCGAGGCCCAGTTCTGCAGGGGACCCATGGTGAAGTCAGCCGCCTGATGCCATGAGCCAGATGCGGGAGTCCAGCACTCAGTCATGTATTGCTTAACTCCAGGGTTCGTGTTGTGGAACTGGCTTAGCACGGTCCAGTCGACGTTTGGAGCGTAGCAGTGCCAGGCGACCGACTTGACGTACTGACCGGCCTGGTTAATGACGGTCTGAGGATAGGATGTGACATCTGCGATTTGTGAGCTTCTTTCGCTGTCATACCAATGATAACCCCGTACCTGTGTTGTGGTCATAAGCCCAGATCTCGGTATCTAGTCCGGCTTGGGCGAGAGCTGGACCGATGTAGTTTTGAATCAGCTGTGCCGACTCCCAGTCATAGACATACATGGTGGGATAACCGGCCGAGCTAAACAACGGCTCGTTCTGGATGGTAATCGCATCGACGTGGGCACCGAGATTCTTATAGGCTTGAATGTACTTGACAAAGTACTGCGCAAATTGACTGGAATAGCCCGTACTACCGGTTCCACCGCTAGTCAGGTATCCATCGTTCAAGTTGTTGTTGTTCGTATTGCCATCGATGACCCCGTTCAGCTTCATCCACCCGGGTGCGCTCCAGGGAGAGCCGAGGATCTTTAGATTGGGCTGCAGAGACTTCATTGTTGCGAGCATCTTGGCCATTGCCGTTCCTCGGTCGCCCAGATTGAATCCCGACAGCGACGGATCCGCATTGCCCCCATTGTCATCGTACGTGTAGGCTGGATCACCGGACAGATCGGAGGCCCCAATGGTATGTCGCATCAAAGCGAAGTTTGCGCCGGCCGGCGTCATCAATTCATTGAGCAGGTTCTGTAACACGGAGGCAGACAAAGTGTTGAACGAGGTGACCGTGGCATCGGTGACAGCAGCACCAAACCCAACAATAGTTTGTTTGTGACCGGACGAGGTGTCGTCAACGGTCAATTGCCAGGTCGATTCAGAGCCTGGGGTTCCTGCTCCTTTGACCGGAGCTGCTATGGAGGAGAGCTTGTAGTTGCCGGCGGAGTTGGAACAGTATGCAGACGCAGACGCGGCTCGTTTTTCTGGTGAGGCATGGCTCAGGGCTGTCAAGCCAAGCAGAGCGCCAATGGATATGCGCATTTTCAACGAGAAATGTTAGATTGTCTTGCTCTTGGATATTGCTTGGTGTCTCTAGGATGATCAGCGGACAGGCGCATTCAAGACTTTATACCTGCAGTCGAATTCCTAGGCTGGTATTAATTCAGGTCTTGATTTTGGCAAGAATTAAGCCATAATCTCCCTTCCAGTGCATTATTGGCCACTACAATCCAGGTACATCTCTAGAAGCAGGACAAGCATTTCCCCGCTGGGGTACACCGACCATGAAGAATACCACCCACGGAATCAGGATACCACAGTATCATGGACTAATGCAAGCCTCAAACGTCTCAGAAACAAGTTCACTAATCAGTATGGCATTGATCTCCAGCCCCTAAACCAATCCCGTCAGCCTCAAATCCCGGACTTCACCATGACTCGACTTAGCCCTGTTACCTCGGACGGACCTTCGACTTAACAAGGCAAAGCCTGCCCCTGTAAGTAAGCACTATGATCAGCTTTTTAATTAAGGGTGTCATTCTCAGCGGCATGAATATATGCAGGCAGACCTCAGAGACATCCTTATAGTATACACTTGACAATGCCGTTGAAACCCCTGAACAAGATCTCTAGCTCAATCATAAGCCTCTACGCCAGCAGCCGGTGCCCCACAGGAGATGAAACTCCCCGCATCTACAAGACTAGGTACACCGTCTTGTCTTCATCAAAGAGACCAATTTCCTTAAAGGGTAATTAATGCAGAAGTAACTCCATCCCAGATCATCCAAATCTTTGAGAGAAGACACATAGTTTCATGTACATTGCCCTTTTAATATCAGTGAGGACCTTGCTCCCATATATGGTTGTCTCATCGACGGAGGGAGTTAGAAGCAGATGGAAGGGAAGGATGTTCATAATCATGCCTCAGGCACGCCGTCTCTTCGAAAGCTGACTTCCCAATATGGTTAGCTCCTCATTCTGCCGTGCCCCTCCGATGTGTTGCGTCAATCAACCATCGTCAAGTCGTCAAGTCATCAAGTCATCGAAAACAGACTCACTCGTCCTCAATTAACTGCCAGAAAGCCAGCTAACAATCAATCTGCACAATGGCATCCATTCTACCCCGTACCAGCTTGCGAGCCCTTTCTGCTCTTCCCAAAGCTAGCCCCGTTTCCAGACTGGCTTTCTCCCGCCAGCTTCCCCGCGCCCAGCCGCTCGTGCAGCCCTTCGGTCGCAGATTCCTTGCGACTGTTCCCCAAGAACAGCCTCGCCTGCGTCTTGGTTCTACTGGTAACCTATTCTCCAGTGTCCTTCGGCTGCAAACATCCTGCTAATATCTATTATCTTTCTGTAGCTCCGAACTTCAAGGCTCAGACCACCCACGGCGAAATTGATTTCCACGAGTTCATCGGAGACAACTGGGCTATTCTCTTCTCTCATCCCGCCGACTTCACCCCGGTATGCACGACCGAACTCGGTGCCTTTGCCAAGTTGAAGGGTGAATTTGACCAGAGGGGTGTCAAGATGATCGGTCTGGTGGGTTGTTCTCTAAATTGCAGCAGGTTACCATACTCATTGATCATCTATAGAGTGCGGACGATCTCAGCTCTCACGGTGACTGGGTCAAGGATATCAACGAGGTCGCATCGACTAACGTGCAGTTTCCCATCATTGCCGATCCCGAGCGCAAGGTCGCGTTCCTCTATGACATGATTGATCAACGTGAC